ACTATTTGAGAACTAAATGCTGCTTTACAGCTAAAATCTCCATGGAAATTCTCGTCTCTTCTTAAAATTCCGCGTGGGGTGATAACCATATACATGTAAACCCAGTAAAATTTGTTCAATTCTTTGTTAAATTTGGATCAATGTCAGTGTCGGGGGACTGCGAACCTACCCCTCCCCTGACCCACTTGTTGTCCGTTGTTAGTTGTTAGCGTAGGGGAAGGGTAGGTACGCAGTTGCTCAGACACTGATCGGGAATTTTGGTTCCAACTAACGTGATAACCGTGAAATATAAGTCGGGGTGAGAAGTGCGAAGTGTGTTGTTTGATATTGAAGGCGCTGCTTCACGACTTGTTTGCCCTTTTTTGCGATGTGTAAGGATTGCCTTGGAATGAAAAACGTTGGTAAGTAGTACAATGAGGAAGACGAGGAACAAAGATGGAAGAAACAAGGCACCGGAAGGCCGATGGAGAAGATTATCATAGACTACCCCGAGAGCGCTTTTCGAGTAATCGCAACGGCCGATCAGGGGAAAGGAAAGTACTCTTTAGAGCCAGTGAGATCTCACAGTAAAAACAGCCAAACTGCCTAAAGCACGGGAAAACGCGGGTGACTAAGTCGTGATTGTTTTAGTTTTGCATCTGATTGGTTGAGAAAGCGGAGCGAGTTTTCTGGACCAATCATGAAGCGAAGTAAAGTGAATACAGTGCAATCGCGGATTACTTTCGACGCTCAATTGCAAACTGCACTTATGGCGAATCAGGTCCATTTTGTGTAATGTTGTTTGTTGGTTTTTTTCTCAACGTGCATTGTCATTCAACACAAGTTGAAGCAGTTTCTTTAATTTAAAGTACGCCTACTTCAAAGACTGAGAAGTTTTGCCTTCTGTTTGTTTTAAAAGCTGTACGAGTGGCAAATGCTATGCAAGAGGAGGTAACCGCCAAGCGTGGAGAACTTGACGCTATGCAAAACAAGTTAGTTATCCGCAGTGTGATTCTATTTAACATTCAACTTTTTCTCTGGTTAGTTCGACTAAAAAAACAAAATCAACTATACTGTTTTTCTTCTTGTTTTGTAGAATTCACTGGTTAACAGAAAGTCTCAATAACGTCTCCAAGGTAAATTGCACTTTGCCAGTGTATCACGATGTAGAGCCGGGTCCTAACCTTTTACACTAATATCAGTATACATATTCTTACTGTCCTCTATACATTTCTCATGCGGATGACAAGGAGAATTTGTTTAACAATCAAGAGCTTTTTTAGTTGATAATCATTTCCTACATTCTTGTGACCTTAATGTGTGATGCAGGGGTGATGCATAAAATTATGCAGCATGCTTAAAAAAATAAAAAATTAGGGCGACCTGTCTTCGGTTTCTCTGTAATCCGCAGAGCGAGTTTTCGAAAATTTGATCCGGCAAAATGTTCATGATCTAGTCAAAACTCCTTTATCTTGCTACCTATCAGCTACCCATACATTCATCGTTTTGGCCTCTGTCCTTCTTCTGAATGGCTCTACATTTTCAACATTGAGAAGAAAATCATCATTCAAATAGCGTTTCAATTTGCCTTTCAACCGGTTTAAATTTACATTATGTCCAAACAGAAAGCGCCACTCTTTTAAATGATTGCAGTCCGCCTTTTCGATACAAGTCGATACGATACAACTTCAGTTATTTCGATACCAACCAGTGAAGGTGTAATTGGATATTTTCAACAGTCTGCCAGTCCAATAAAAGGAGTTTAAGATGTCAAGAAGGCACTGAATTTTTCGGAGATATACCTTGCTGCGAGAAGAGATTGGCGAAGGACTTCACTAGTTTGTATCAAAATGACGTTCTACGTTTATTAAATGGCGACTTTATCAATGAATCGAATCGAATTCAGTTTGTATTGAATCAACCTGCATCAAAACGACCGTAAATCAAATGCTTTTGTGGTATTCGTTTGGTTTTTAGGACGCGCGTTATTATGAAAGGAAAAGCAGTGAATTATCAGAAACGTCAGAAAAACTGGCAGGTCGCCGAGACCAGTTGGAATTCGAGCTGCGGAAGGTCCGGGAACAGAAAGATGAGTATCAAAAACAAGTCAACCACATGGAGCAGGCTCTTGAAAAGGTATTAATTGTCAACGACTATTTTTTAAAGGCATGATTTAGGCGATTACAGATGATAATTTAAATACCACTATTTAAACGTTGACATCATTGGACATTAAAAATAAAATAGAATAACGATGAGGATTAAGGCAAACTGACAAAGCTAAATACGAAGGACGTTCATGTTTGAGTTTGTGTAATTTCAGTGCAAAATAGGAATCGTTTATAGCCTAATTCGGTGCCCCTCAAATTGTAGGGAAAATAATGGTGGGGTTCTATCCCCTCCATCCCAGAAATCGCTCATCCGCTGAAGAGGCAATACGTTTTTCAGTAATCGAGTCTCTTATTCCTAATGTACATCGTCATATCTCCCTCATAGGCAGCTCTCAAGCATGCAGACTCGCAGGGTATTATCGAGAAGATGGAACAAGAGATGGCAAGACTTAAACTGAAGCACTCACTTGAGATAAAGGTATACCATCATCGTGCACGACACCAGAGTATGACATGTCCGTTTGCACTGTTGGGTATGTAGAAGTAGCTTTCCACTATCTACAACTTCGATGTTGTCTTCTAGGAACTTGAGCGGACATCTAAGGCACCCATGACTGTCAGACCAGAAGCTGCAACGCTAGTTGAACTGTTGACAAAACTAAACACTGGTTTTAGGCGAATATTTCAATTATTTTTTTCTACTGCCTGATTACTACATGCCTATTAGTCCATTTTCGAGATGATTTTTGGAAGTAAGCTTTCTAATGACACAAACACCCCAAAACTCATGTTAAGGTCATCCTGCACCGCTAGACACAGTGAACAATTCTTCTTACACTTCATACAGTGTAACGTCTCGAATTCACCATTCTGTAACCCTTTATACCCTAACATCAGTATGCACATTCTTCTTACTCTTCTGTACACATTTCGTCAGGTACTGATAAGGAGCTTTTGCTTAACAATTAGGAGCTTCTTTAGTTGGGGACCATTTATTCTCGTGACCTTAATGCGTGATTCAGGGGAAGTAAGGAGAAATTAAAAACCAGTCAGTCCACCTGGTTACAGGGTTGAAGTCAATAATTGATAGCAACATGAACAGAGACTACCATCCACAGATGTATGTTTGTCATCAATAATCGATCGAAAAACAAGCTTTAAGTCAACGTTCATTTATTGCTATTGATTATTGCTGTTAGTCGTTAGTTAGAAATTTTACCGTAAGGAAAAGTCTCCTTACCGAAAATGAAAGCTAAAGTTCTTTACACATAAAACTGAGTTTTTCCAATGGGTGCAAATATATTTGGAAAAGGAGTGGGTGATGAGACAACCATAATCGGTCGGCAAGTAAGTCAGTAGGACTGTCGATTGATCGATACCGATCAACGTCAACAAGGTTAGGTTTATTTGTTTATCACCTTTATATCCTTCGTTAAATTTCCTTCGGTTAACAATCCTTGAAAACTTACAATTGTAATAACGAAAACAAAAACTTGGACGTATTTAAATCCACTTAACCAAAAACAAGTTTTGTGACCTATCCTCGCGATGTTTTTTCCCTTTGCCCACCAACACCACCCACCCAGCCAGCCAGAGCTTATCCCGGTTTCTATTACATGAGGCGACCAGGCCCATTACTGCTCCTCCGTGGATACCTGTCCATCGCAAGGTTACCCCTCAGCATGTCATCAGGCTTCTCTGACAATTCGCTAGTACCTGTCTATAATCCTCAGTCCTCCAAGCTGCGACCATCTTGGTCGCTACGCGAGTGAAAAACATAGTTCGCGACTAAAATTTCGACAAAAGTGGCCATTTGACGACAAACAGGTTCTAAAAAAAATGACCAAAATGTTTCTTTTGGCAACTATTTTACGGTTGAAGGTCGCCAAAAGGTCACTTTTTGAAAAATTAATCTTGAAGCGCTGCTCCTTGGTGGAGAGAAAATTCTACTCCTCAAGTTATCTTGTTAATTTCTATTTGCCTACTGAAGGTGGCCCCCGCTAACCACTCCAGCAAATTACACCAATGTTCTCTTAACTCAGAAGACTGGTATTCCTCAGCCTTTCCCAACACCTCTACCGCTTTCCCAGGGCTCTTAGTCTGAAGTGGCAGAATTGGAGAATGGGCAGCTGATGCAAAGTGGGCCCTCTCGAGAGGTTAAGCGAAAGTTCTTTACTTTGTAATTTGTTTGTTGTGAGACTTGTGACGTAAGATTAAAATATGATAGTTTCTTGAGCCATTCGAATTCATATTTGCATCCGTAGACAAGTGAAGCCTCGTCGAAGAAAAACGATGAAGTTACAGATGACCTGAAAACGTTACTACATGAAGTGCGGAGCTTGGTCTCAAGTTTCCAAGCGCACGTCTCCCAAACTGCGACTCCGGCCAAGACTCCGAATGCTCCGTCTGCGTCATAGGGTTCTCTTGCTGAGCGAGCGCTGTTGGACGACTGCCCCGTGCGTCCTGACGAACCATATGTGGGAAGAAGTGGGCAGCAGCGTGCTGTCGGCGAGACAACCTCTGACAAGAAAAAAAATTCTGGTCCTTCAAGCGAGGATGAAAAGCAAAGGCCAAACAAGCAACGGTGACAGAAAAGGTCGTGGCGCAACCCAGAAGGGGCATCTTCGTTCTAAGCCCTTAATTTCCTGAGGGCACAGGCAGGAAATCAACAGAGAAGAAGGTTCATCTGTATCAACAGATCTGAATTCGAAAGTCAGCAGCAGATGCGATTTCGACGAGGTTAGCGACGATGTCAACGTCTTTGCAATTCCGCTGCACAGTTCGTCTCCAAAGAGGGTTGATATTGCATCCAGTGATGCAGTCAGCGAACGTTCACAAACATTTGACAGGCCCCTTTCATTGTCGTCGTCGTCGATTTACAGTGACCACTCAGATGTCACCTCTCTTTTAATGGACCGATCAACTTCCACTGCGGACACTGTTATCTCACCTGACATCCTGAACGCGGCTCGTTCTTGGAAGCCAAAGTCGAGCGCATTGTCAGTTACAAGTAATCAGTCAACTTCAAGTGAAATGTCTGGTGTGGCGCCGTTACCAAACGGCAAGTCGCGCTATTTGCCTTTAAGCGAAAACGAAGGAAGACGAAATCTTGATTCAGAGTCTGCCCGACGTAAGTATGTGCGCCAAAAACAAGAAGATTTCATTTCAAGGAAAGAGAGTGACAGAATCTTAACAGCAGGTGATATGCTTGTTGCTATATTTAGTGTTAATATGTGGCGATCTATAAAAGCCTACTTAGACCCATTTATACTGAATCTTGAATTGTCCATGTTTGCGCGTCGAAGTGATGCTACCTTGCTTTTCATGAATAAGCAGACAGTGGCTGGAACAAATCGATGTAAAATTACATGGTTTACATACCACATGGCACACATTAGCATACTTGCAATTCGAGAGTAAGTTCTAGTTTGAATGACCTATTTTTGTCGCTTACTAAATTGCTACTCCACCTCGTCCTGGTTTGCGAAAATCTGACAGCACCAAACCTCAACAGTCCTCTTTTCGAACTATTTTCTCCATTTTTGTTTGTTTGATTTTGTTTCCATTTCTTTCTTTCTTTCTTTGTTTTCTTTGTTCTCTACATTATTTTCAACGAACTTTGCAGCTGAAGAACCTGTGAGGAAAAAGTCATCAGATGGTGAACCTGTGTACAGGCGTACCGAGATGATCTTGAGATCGCTTGCACAAACTGGGGAGCAACTTACCAAGAAAAACAGAGGTCAGTTGTAACATAAACGACTTCATAAAACACTCATCATTCGAAAATATGTTGGGTTAAAATTTCCCGAACAAATTCTTCTTAACTTTCCTGGAGGAAACATAACAAGAGTGAACTGTATCATTCATTATGACCCATTGTTCGTAAGGCTCGCTCGAAGAAAGTGATAGAAACAACAAACAGAGAAAAATCTCTTCTAGTTATCAGTATGGTAGCTTTAACTTTGTAATTCGTAATCGGTTCATTTCAGCCGTCGGGATGCAGGAAAGAAACTTTTCCACCAATTTTCCAACGTCGCGCCCATTACCGTTTGTTTGATTGTTGGTCTTTACTTTTTCTCTGTGAAGTTTATTAACGTTGAGCACCTTCATGTGACGTGTGAATGTGCTTGGATGTTTGTCCATGGAGAGAGAGTAGGTCGTCATTATTAGCGCTGCGGCACGATTGCTTCCTCTTTCGCTGGAAATTATGAGGCCTTGAGCTCCGCGAACCATTGCCCTTTACAGAACGTTTACAAACACCGCACCGTCGCAAGAGTATGTTGACTTTTTAAAGTGACTAATAGGAACAAACCAACATGCTTCTCCTTTAACAGTAGCAAAAAGTTTCCTTGGCTTTCAACAACTTTTACAGAAAGACTTCATATCAAACGCAATTTCTTTAAAATCGGGGAATATCAGCGCATATTCCTCTGCTTCAGCAGGGGGCCTGTTTGGTCTCATTGTAGTTTTGAACCAATGGCGTGCCTGAGAAAATACTTTAATGATTTGTCAAATTTTACTACTTTGATGGATTAATCTTCCTTTTGCGTTCTTAGAGATCGAACACTTGTTGAAGGAACAAGACAGACGAATAAAAAAGTGCCGGAAAAACGAGGACCACATGCATGCACTTCTGTCTTGAATACAGTACCATGATCATGAAAACTCGTTAATCTATCCCTACAGCTACGATTGTACGCATTGTGGTTAAGACTAAGGTGATATGCAATTTCCGCGTGAAAAGAAATGTATACTTTGCATATCTTTTTAAGAGAAAAAATAAGTACCTCATAATAAGAACATTGGCGGCCTCCCTTTGTAGTTCATTCCCTTTTCTCTCTCTCTTTTTTCTTTCCTTCCAAATTATTTGTTCTTCACCATTTTCGCTGCAACCCATTGCAGACATCCTTTTGCTATTAAATACATCCTTTTGCCGTTCAGCAAAACTTCGTTAATGGAAAAAAGGTAAAGAGCTTACCTAAATCAAATTTCTAGACTTGTCAGGAACTTTTTCTTTTCACTGTGCTGAATATATTTTTTTTTTTGATAACAATCAATATACTATATCGAAGTTAGTTGCGTAATCTATGTACTCGCACACTAGCCGGACAAAACTACAAACTGCAGCCGAATTGCCGGCGATAACCATTTATTTTAGAATAAACGAATCTTTAAGGAATGTGTGATATAAACGACAGATATTAGATATGAAGTGATTGATTATTATCTTGAGAAGCGTTCAGCAACCTTACCATATGTAATTTACCGCTGTTTCTAACTTATGTAATTTAATATTGAAATATAAACACACGCGTGGGATTCTTGATTTATTACTTTGGACTATTTTAAGCAACCACTTCTATGGAGTGCGATATACCCGTCCACTGTTATCCGTTCACGGCACAAGGCGTAAGGTCCATGTTGAAAAGTAAATATGAAACGATAAATGCCAATTGAAAGGGTCTCGCCTCCTGTTTTCAGTGGGTGCCTTTCACTCTCCCTTTATTCAAAATTTGATCAGTGGATAAAGATAACAAACATAATAAAACAATTACATTGTGCTTGAAGTGTTTTTTTTTTTTTCATTAAAAATCTTGCTTTAAAACCTGCGTAGTGAGATAAACTCGAGGATTAAACTTACCAATAGTAAAAAAACTCAAGTGATCTATGAAGGCGTGATATCTAGCCCTTTTTGCGTCGACTGGATAGGGAAGGAGAGCTAATTGCGCAAGACAAGTTGTCCACTTTTGTCCGAATAGGAGAGGGCTCTATCTCCTAAAATTAGGATAATAAAATGGGGTGGGGTGGGGGAAGTGCATAGGGTGGAGGTGTATCGATCTTGGAAGGTGCTTCTACCCTTCGCATTTAAAGAATTTAACAAAGCTGACGACCTACTGCAACAGCAACCTAAAAAGAACTATGCCAGCGATGGCTAAGCTTTCTTCTTTATTAACATGTTATTTCATCCATTTTTTATTACTAAATAGCACCAAACTCTTTTGTTAATGCGGACGACTTAATTATACTTTTGTGATCCGAGCTAGAACTACAAAATTGCCCATACTGAAAACAATTAATAACAAATACTGAAAACAATTAATAACAAAACTAAGTGGATGATTTTGTAACGATCCACACTGATTCCAAAAGATCAAGTAAAATATCAGTTTGTAGAAAGTTCACTAGTAATGTGAGCATTTCATTTTCTTAGTGAAATAAAGCTGCGATTTTCTTAGATTAGTTAATGTTTTTTCATTAAATATTTAATTTGAAATTAAAAATGGTTTGCTATTAATTATGGGAAGAATATTTGTTCAAACTTACAACCTTAACTGTCTTCAGAAGTTTCTTTTAAGTTCTCAACGAGTATAATCCAAGAGGGGCTTTCTTTCTTCCATTTTGGACCAATGAGCACTGCCATGCCAATAACAACATCTAGCAGCTTGCTCCAAAAGGAAAAACAAAGCCCGGACGAGTTGGGAGAGAATGGCACCAATGACCAAAACAGACAGTGTAACCGGCACGGCAGCCAGCGCGCCAACCTCAAAACACTCCATGGTTTCCAGATAATTTATAAGGCCCAGTGATTGAGATGCCAAATGATATCAGGGTTGCCTTGGTAAGATTGATAATGGAAATTACTATCAAAGCAGTAAGGGACAATGTCTCGGCTCCGTTGGCCATTGGATCTCGAAATGGATTCTTTGATACATGGTGGAGCGCTATCAGAGTGCAAGCTGTAGCCATGGCGATCATTCGCAGCATTGGGCTTGTTATAAACGAGTGACAAGCTAGGAGAATGAATCTTCGGCCAATCAGCACGCTCTCCCAGTAGAGTGTCCCTTTATCGTCGCTCTTAGGTGGACGGAAAGGACCATGAAGTACTTCCATGATATCTTTGTTAACAACTTTTGCTTCAAGAGACTCATTCCCAGGTTGTTTCTGGGCTTTCTTACGAAGCCAATAGACAAGAAATGGCAATGGAAGCACGCACGCAGCAAGAAATTCAGTCGCCGTTATTGAAGCCTTGTAAAGCTTGGATGATCCGAAGTAAAGAACAATAATGAAGGCGACAATAAACACCGCAATGCAGGCGAGAACGAGATACTGCCACCACTGCATGCATGTAACATTTGCATCGATAAAAAGCCGCAGTTCAGATCCGATTGAGACACAGGTCATCAGTTTGAGGCAAGTTTCAGCCAGTCTTTCGTAACCTAACAGCAACACTTCTATGATGACGGCCATGTAATGGAAGAGGAATGGCTTCTGGTTGCGCGTTATCATGTTGATAACACAATGGACGAAATAAATGAGAGCGATGTCAGCCATTGTCAAGAAAACGGTACCAGAAAGAACCAATTGCTTTGTCACAGATGTTAGCCCAGCAAAAGGGCAGCCCAAACCTTCATTGAGGGTGCGTAGTTTAAAGTTGAACGCGGCGGTAACTGCATACATGTATGGCACCTTTTTCAGAAGGCATTCTTTGCATCCAACAATCAAAAGTTCAGCGGCTTGATAGAAATAAAAAGTTATTTTTATGTAGGCGTTATCTGTGTGGGGATTGTGTTGATGTGACGCGCTGTCGTCCCGTTGGCTTTCTTTCTTGCTAAACCAAATAATCTGATTGACGAGAAAGCTTAGAGTAGGGGGTTTTCTTAATAGGTATAACGATAACATAATCGTTAATAAGAATGTCAATACCCAGAACCAATAGTTGTCACATTCTTCATCCTTACGACATTCTGGTGTGAAAAGAGTTACACTGTATCCTGGAATGCATTCACCACACAAAATTCCTCTTCTGTTCCCTGAGCAACTGTTATAACCGCTTGCGCCTGGGCCTGGACTTCGACAATAATGCTCTGGACAGGCAGTGAACGTCAGTGATGGTGGGTCAGATGAACCATTTAGATGACCCCAAAAGTTTAGTTTGGCTACTATATTTCTTTTGACACAATTGGCACCGAACGGGCATCGCTGACATTTTACTGTTCTGTTCAATATCAGTCCTCGAGAGGTTGCACGTGAAATGCTGTAAAAACCTGTCGGGCAGCGCAGGCAAGAGTACTTCAGAACAGTAGCATTTATTCGACAAAAGCTACCATTGTATTCAGAGTGAGCAAAATGCGAAGAATTGTCCAGCAAAAGCCTGCAACCAGGGGGGCACTGAATGATTGAGTTATTATCCATGTGAACGGAACCTAGACTAGAGATGCCAAACACGGGGTACACATCTTTTTCTATTGTAAAAGAGTTCAACGTTGTATTTTTGAGACCAACTGGTCCTCCACTAACTGAATGCACGAAGGCTGACTTTCGAAACGTCGTACCGTTAAATTTCACGTTTTTTACTGTCGAGCTGAATACACAGTCTAGAAAATCTGCTTTTCCAGTTCCATCGGATAAGTAAACATGTCCAGAATGTTCAGAAGCAAAATTATTGACATCAGTATCTATATTCTCCAAACGATTCACTACACACTTCCCAAGGTGCTGACAAAGAGAATTTTTTGATAATCAAAAGCTGCTTTAGTTGGTGATCATTCCTCTATTCTCATTACCTTAATGTTTGATTCAAGGGTGATTTTGTAAGGAGAAATTAGATGCTAGTCACTCAGGGTTTTACCCTTTAACTCCCAGAAGTGATTAACATGAAACTTCTCCGTAAAATATCCATACATATATCTAGCAAACAGGTAATGAGAATATTCAGGTGAAAGTTGCTTTCTTGATCTAGCACCAAATTCTTGTACCTGATTTGCAAGGACATGTATGGCAGCTAGAAGGGAGAATTAACATTAAGATCTTGGGGATTAAAGAGTTAAAGGGTTAAGATTGTTGCTTTTATACTTGAATTTTATGGCAAAAATAGTGATCTATATAAAAAATTGAGTTTGTAAAAATTGACTGCAATTTTTCTGTGACAATCACTGGCAGATTATATGATATGGCTTAAGGATATACTCTCTTTTTATTGAGCTGTTGACCCTTAAACCCTTAAGTGATATATAATATCCATACATTATCCAGTAAACAGGTCATGAGAATACTCAAACTAGTTGAAATCTTAATCTAACACCAAATTCTCATACCTAATTTACTAGGAAATATGTAGCAGTTAGAAGGGAGAACTGACAATCAGATCTTAGGGCTTAAAAGGGTTAAAGTGTGAATATATATTATTTCTGAACTTTTTGAATAAGTGTTTTTTGAATGAAAAAGACTGATTTTCTCTTGAGTTTTGTATGCAACCTGTTTTAACCCTATTACTCCTGTGAGTGACCAAGACAGAATTTCTCTCAGAATTAGGAGAAGTACAAATTTGATTTGGGAGTTTAAGGGTTAAAGCTATTTTGAGTTAATCCCAAGTTCTCCCAGGCTAACAACAGGGTATTGCCATGATGGAAAATTAAATGTAAGCTATGGGTAAGGTTGTAATGTATATAGATATATTACATCCATTTTAAAATCAATTTCCTTGAAATCTGATTGGCTATATCACTGCGGTTTATTCATGAAACACAACATTTTATGCTCTAAATTGCATCCTTTTCCCAGGCAGTGAGAGAGCTTAAGTAAAACACAACACCCAATCAGATTTCAAGGCTCGGTTAAAGAAACCAATTAAATTTCGGGAAAATAAAAGTCAACTTTGGTAACTTTTTACTAACCTGCTTAATGCTGGATCAGTAAAATAATTGAACAGACTAAGAAACCTGTCTTTGAGCACTAGAATTCTGGGATTTCAAAAAGGATGTAATAAAGTGAAAATTATACTTCATGCCATGCAATTTTGGTCTGAAATGAGAAAATGAAAACCAACTCTTGCTGCTTGCTTGTTCAATTTTGGAATCATGCTTATGATTTCAGTCCAAATTGCACCCCACTCAGTTCAATTACCATTATATATCCCAGCAAGCAAAGCAAGATACATGCCTGAAGGCAAACACTTGATGACATTTGAGAGTATAAGTTCCACTTTTTCAATTGGCCAGTCGTGAAGAACACGTGACAATATATACAAATCAGCCTTTGGCAGATCCGCTTGGAAGAAATTTCCTACTACGTATGAGATGTTTCCTTGATTGGGGTAATCTTCTAACGGGGGATGAAAATGATGGGCAGAGTCGCGACAGACTGCACTTCACACACTGTGATCTTCATGTTTGGGTAGTATTGGCATAAAGTGTAAGCCATTGTTCCCATTCCACCTAGGTGTTAAAAGAGAAATTTACAGAGTGAGAAAATTCATAAGAAGCAGTTTTCCTTTGTGGATGTGGAGCTGCCCTTGTAATCTGATGGTTCTGGGGATAAGCCCTTCGCCCTGATACTTATGAGGTTGTTACTTACTTGCCATCTACTGCCTGCAAATCTAACTTGGGGTCAAATCTTGAATATCTTTAGTTACAATGGACCTCGAAAGTCTTCACTGAAGGAGTGGTCGACTACTTTATGAGTTTTGTCCCTGTCACTATCAGTATCATTGTTTAGCATCATTTATTATTATTGTTGTTATTTTCAGTATTGTTGTTGCCGTCTTTGATGTTATACTGTTTCAGCTTTCAGCTGTCAGACAGTCAGACACCCCAAGCACTGATAGGGATAATTTTGTTTGATGCAGATCTGTCAGTGTATGGTGTTGAGGGGGGATATGGGTAGCAGGTTGCTCTGCACCATTAGTTTTTCATAGCAGTGTGGGGGGGGGGGGGCATTCAAGTGCTAGATGGGGGGGAGAGGGAAGGTTCTTTTCCTTTTAGCTATGCCCACAGGAAAAAATAACGGATTCCCATTTTTGGATATTTTTGGGTATTTAAAGAATACCCATAAAAATCCCAAATTTGGCAAAGTGAGACAAGTCCCAAACAGGGAATTCCCAACCAAGTTCCCAGATTGGGACTTGTCTCACTCTTCCAAATTTGGGATTTTTGTGGGTATTCTTTAAATACCCAAAAAGATCCCAAAATGGGAATCCGTTATTTTTTTCCATGGCGCCATGCCCCGGTGCACAATTTTCCTGAACTAGGCTTACGCAAAGCTCCGAGTGAGATTAGTGAACAATTCGACCGTTATAATAAGTAGTTGTACGGTAATTATAATCTGCAAAATATATCCCACCTCCTAAGTCACAACAATTGTCAAATAATGAACTTAAGTCAAACGCCGTCACCACGGCATGACAGAAGTGCCGTGACGTGGAATGCATAGCAGATTGAAATCGTATGCGGTCCTCCTCGGTGTTATATGAAGATTTAAAAAAGTCGTCCGACGACAGGTTGAATGTTCTCATCCACTGATTCGATCCTTCACGAATTGCACTCTCTAAGTTCCCGAAGATGGGATAGATCACATCCTCGGAGACCCAGGGGCAGATAGTGGGGGCGAGGGAAAGTCTAAACGGGCGGGAAAATATGATACGAAGAAAAGTAAAGAACGGCGAGAAGAGCCCCTGGGGACAATGTCTTTTCAGACCAGTTCCAAACGGTCACCGCTGTTCTGGCTTCTGATTGGTGCCAGAAAACTTTTGTGTTTTTCTGCCCAATCAGAAGGCAGAACGGCGGCGACCGTTTGGAACTGGTCTGGTAAGACATTGTCCCCAGGGGCTCTTCTCGCCGTTCTATACTTTTCTTCGTGTCATATTTTCCCGCCCGTTTAGACTTTCCCTCGCCCCCACTATCTGCCCCTGGGTCTCCGAGGATGGATAGATCACTTCATTGGAGTGTTTTATTTACCCATAAACCGAATGGGGACTCGACTTTGTCAGAAACTGTTTTGCTATGTTACTGTTTGAATACAGCCATGATCCATCTTGCTTAGTCTTTTCCAGCAATTCCAGAGCAACCAATGTGTCCATGAAACAAGCTGTGGCATCAGCATTGGATCCAATCTTTGAAGACATGTCTGCGACCGACTGCGGAGCATCGGAATCTTGAAGAATATCGAAGACACCAAATCACATGCTGCGAACAGCACTTTGGATTCACGAAAAGCGTATATCAGATCATGCAGTTTATCTGGGAGTGGCAGAGGAATTGTAATATTTTTTCCAACAGCCGAAACTCGTGTAGTGTATATGTTACGGATGAGTTGCGGAATCCTCCACGCTCTGGTCGCCATGTTTGCATATCTCTTGAACATCGATGTCTTCACCATAACAAGCAAAGGAAGCCACCCGATTCGCTCGTAATATTAACAACATTAACCGTTTACATGTGAATTTAATTAGCATTAAATTAACCCGACAAGCGGTCAAAGTTCGGCCTATTTTCCTGTCACGGGCTTGTGACGTAGCTGACCCCTTTCCTCAAAAAAAAAAAAAAAAGAAAAAACCAAGACGCCTCAAGATACTGAGCGTAGCATTGAAAGGAATTGTGCAGTTACATTAAACTGCAATGATTAATCAGTTCTATCAGCCGAAGAAATCACCATGGAAACTTGTAGTGTTGAAGAAACCGTGACGAAGGGTAGGAGCCCAGAAACCCTTGGATTTTTCTGGAAAAAACTGGAACTCGACCTCCTGATCTCCTCGTGTTTCTCATCGCCTGTTTCATCCCTCCTAAGTGCAACAGGTCGGTAAAAACAATTTCCATCTCCGCTGACATCGACTTCTCTCCTTTAAGGACGCATATTTTCAGCCGCCGTAATTTGTTTATCAAGAACGACAATAGGTACGAAAACATGCTGTACACACTAAAAGATACAACTAAAATACTATACTGATTAATTTCCTGGTGATTTGTAGTTAATTTTGTGATATTTTATATATTTTTTGTGATATTTCATATATTTTTTGCGATATTTCGAGACCATTGGGCGACTTCAATTTCACAATAAACCTTACGTAAGGTAAGAACTTATTCCGTAGATTTTATCACGTATTTCATCGTTAATCATACAAAAACGTACGCTTCCCTTGAAAAAAGCACAACCTACATTATTAACGATTATCACCTTTATCTAATCAAAGAATACCTATGGCCAACCCGTGCATAAAACACTTAACCTACAGATGAAACATGAATTTCAACTCGGGCGTTTCCCTTGGAAAGCCCGGGTAATTATTGGTCTTGCAGCAATGCAAGGTTGCTCCTATTTCAAAAGGCAAAGTTCCGGAAAATCACGAAGAGATCCTCAAGTATGGTAAACATCCAACTCCGCAGAATGATGAACTTATATATAACCTACAAAAAGAGCACAGAATAGTATCCTGCGTCTATCGAATTTGCAAAATTCGATAAAAATTCAGCCGCTGGAATCCAAATCAAATCTTTCTTCGCCTGCACAAGCCAAATTCTACTATTTACCAATTCATGTCACGTTGCGCTTCACAGTAGCTCAATGAATATTTGCATTGTAACGCAATAATCTTTGTTTACAGGGTTTTCTTCAGCCTGTTTTTGATAGGTTTTCTGCCTCGAAACGAAAATATCTTAGAACGCTCTTAATTTGATCGCTAGTCTTTTTTGACAGAGTGAAATTAAAGATATGCGGAAATGAATTCCACAGGTTTTCTTTTTTCCAGGAAAGCACAGGATTATTTGCTTCTAATCAATCCAGCCGCCAGTGTTTATCAAAATCGGTAAGGATTTTACACATTCCAACAGGCTAGCTTTGCCATTTGACCATGCAGTGAAAAAAGAAACCCAGCCGGATTTTTTTTTGCCGGAATTTTTTTGGAATTACACAATCGAGTGCTAACTTAAACCAAGACTGAAACGTAGAGGTGCGTGAACAACGCGGGAAATTCCTGAGGAATTAACTTCCCGATAATTACGAAACGGTTTTGCTTTGTGCGAAATGCCTAGTTTTTCAGCAACGCGGATTTGATCGATGCGAAGTTCCAAGTTTCGCTTAACCTGCAGAGCAGGCGTAATTTCGGCGAGCTTGCTTATCGCGTGCCGCGCCTTTTGGCTGATGGGATTTTTCGGTCCTGAAAAAGAGGGGAATTCAATAGAGGTCCACCTACCGCATATTTTCTCTCAACCACCCTCTTTCGTTCGCGCTCATTCAATCTTCCGTTGTTCCTGTTTTGTTGACGCTTTTGGCGCTCTCCATGTAGGAAGTATGTGAAAAGACCCCTGCAAATTTCTCTTATTTCCAATACTGATTTCGACAATTCAAACTAGTTCAAATTAGTCCTCTACAGGACCAGAGCCGGAGCTCCTGGAATTTGAACTAATATACACCTAATACAGAAAGATGAGTGAATAATATGTAAAAAAATATACAGTTGCTACATAATGTCATTGCCTAAAACGGTGGAGCATCAATACTCTCCAATAATGGCGGATATCTATGGATCCCAAATCTATGTGCTCCCTCGCAGTGGACTAGCGGACGGGGAGGACGAAGACGATATTATTGTAAAACATGACAGCCTCAAAGCGTCTGGGAAAAAGCAGCCCCTAGTTTTCACGAATGGTTTTGAACAGCAATTCAAGGACTCCCTTACTATGTCTGGAAGACAAAGTCTTGGTATTGAAGGATGCTTCTATACCAGCGGATTGGAACTGAAGTACAAGCTTCAGAAGAAGAGGCTTTGAGAATGCGAGATCCCAAACGAAGTTGCTGATGTGAGTGCAGAACTTCAAACGGGGTCAGAAGAATTCTGCATCGAGGAAGCCAGAGCCATTCATGGTTTGGGTAAAGACGACCATTTTTACGTTGATCACTGATCACATGAAGTGGAACTGTTGGAGTCCAGAGAGGCAGCGTCAGAAAAAAGAGAAGGGCAGAACTCACCGGAGCCTGAGATCTTTGCTGACCGTATTCCTGATGTTAACCCACCGGCCGAAGAAATCTCTTGTACCTCCCCCACGCCTTTCAAAAGTTAATAGAAACTCACAATGGCAGGTAAGATTGACTTATAAAGTGTACACCCACAGTTCCTTTTACTATTGTATGTTAAAATGTTCGACCACATAACCAGGAAGTTGATAGCATACTACATGTACATACGTACATACATATCTTAAGAAAGCAGTTTCCATTTCTTCGATACAGAACAATGTTTAGGGGAATTATGTTTTTCTGTCAAAGTAATCCAAATCTGACAATTCGTCTTTAATGTATTTGCGTCACTTTGAAAGAGTCGGTTGTAATTCTCTGTCGCAAGATGGAGAAACGAGCATCTCTATGGATTATTTGTAAATTTTCGTGAAGCTTCAGCAACAAAATGAAAAAAAAAACCGACATTTCAGGTACAAGACACCTGACAAGACTACCGACACCTGACTGACATGATCAGGTCTATGGTGAAACTGTTATGTTGACATAGTCTGTGCTATTTGTATTTTTTAGAATATATATTTCTTTCATATTTCATGATACGTTTTAATGCATATAACCTGAGTTCCGCGTCTCTGCCGTTAAGGTAAGCACTCGGCTTGCGCATTCAGTTCTGTTTTTCTGTTGTATATCGCTGGCAATTATTATTTTTAATTTCTCCAGTAAAGTTTAAACGTCATTTTAAGTCATTTTACTTTATTTTAGTAATCAGTGTAGGTTATTTTCGATCATTTTAGGTCAAGACATCTGTCAAGGTTATTTCAGGTCATTTTAGGTCATTTTAGACACCACTCAAGGTCATTTAAGATCATATTTGGTCATTTTAGGCCATTCCTTGTTTTAGTAACTACGTTAATTTGATGCTAATTATATTCGCATGTAAGCGGCTAGTTACGAGCGAATCGGGTGAGGAAGCCCAAGAGATGTATTAAACTCTGGAGCAAAGGACGACGGAACACCAAAGACAAGGATATTTAATTTCTATTCAGTGTTTCTTGACGACTACAGTTAAGGATACGTTGTACAATACGTTGTTTTAAACGTTGTACAATATCAGGTCCACATAGTAATAAAAATAGAAATGAAGAAATCTTTCTGCTGTCTGAACAAGTCACCTCTATTTACTATGGAACGATTTCCAATATTCCTAATCAATCAGTACTCAACAGACAAGCCAAACTTTTTTTTGCGTACATGTTTGGTTATTAAGGGGTTAGCCACACACACTCACACTCAGATGAGTAATAGTCACACCTCAAGGACATCGTGGTTATCCTTGAGAAATTCAGCAGCTTCCGCTTCGACGCATGCTCGGAAGCCTTCACGATGATAGGCGGAGAACATTAAAGGCGTGAAGAATTGATTAGCTGTACTATGATTCGGGAACTTGTGGCAGAGGAGCTCAGACAAACCGCTCAAATAGGACTTTTTGTTACAACATGCACAACAACAGAAGGTCAACTTGTCGACGTCTTCTTCGTTCAGAAATGGACTATTCCCCCAGTCACGTGCGTCCAGATGGAAACCAAACTCTTCCCAGGTTTTGAACTCGCTCTTTTCACCTTTTCGCGGATCTCTTGGCCGAATGAGCAAAATTTCGCCTTCACCAACTTTGTGGTCGTTTTCGTAGTATTCAACGTTAAATCTAGCGAAAAAAAAGAAACGATAGATTAAAAATTATTGTTTTGAAGCAAGAGATTATAAGCATGTTTGAATTTTAAGAGCTTCTAGCTTACATTGAATTTATGCCATTTAATTTATGTCGTGTAGAACCTCTTTCATCTTAAAAGAGAAAACGATGTAGTACTTTGACAAGATACAAAACTATAAAACAGGCAGTGATACACCAAGAAGGAAAAAAGATTAGCTGAAGATAACTGCAAATGGTGAACTCGGTCCAAGCTTCACACGATACACAAACCTTGGCATGGATCCGATAACCAAGAATAGACTCGCTATCCCAAATCAAAAGAAAAAAATGGGACCTCATTTTTCTCTTGCGCCAACTCAAGGTCGTACTTCCCCTTATTTCCACCTCCCACTCGAAAAACCAGTGCTTTCCCTGATTGAGTGTAATCAGGTGTCGGTAGTCTTGTCAGGTGTCTTGTTTAAAGCGGCGCTCGACGACAAAGAAGAGGTGGTAGTAAATTACGGAAAGGATCATAGACACGTACCTGAAATGTCGGGGTTTTCTTTCATCTGGTTGCTGAAGCTTCACGAAATTCTCCAACAGGTCTGAAATGACGTCACGACCGCCCTGGCCAATAAATGAACAGTTCAGGTCTCTACGAGCCAGCATCAGTGCTTTCAGTAGTTCTTCTCCATAAGTCTTCTCATTGGAATAGTAACCGCCATCCACCACAATAATTTTCTTGAGTTTCTTCTTTAACAATGGCAAAATGGCAAGATTTTCCACGTGGCCTCCATCGCTAAGTAGCATGACGGGAGGAGGCATGGGTCCGATGTTGTCAATGTTAAGGCCTTCTCTCACGAACTTCACAAAGGAAACGTGCACGATGAACCACCTAGGTTAAAAAACATAATACAAAATTTGTTTAAAGGGAGTAATTTTCCAAAGAAACTGTGATGCTGCATCGGTGGTGGGTATTACAAGATGATTTGATTTTGTCAACTGAGTTGATTATGTAAATGGGCCACCATAAAGAGATTCTTTGGTTCGAGCGTTAGCTCATCGTCAGAGCCAAATATATACATATAAAGAAGGACAGTTTATCTGAAAAATGGTCTTTTCCAAACTGTGAGTGACCGAGAATTTTACCACTCTCCGTGATTCGAGTGGGCTCAAGTCGTGTGACGATTTACAAAGTAAACAATGATCATACATTTTATATATAATTACAGAAAGCTTTCATTTCAATTAACTTCTGATCAGGATTAACCTGGTCACCATAATTGAGGAATGGACGGGTTTGGGTTTTGGGTTTCTTCATCTTATCATTTAGAGTGACTCCAGTGGAGTGCCAAAGGAATACAAGAATTTCTTTGGTTTTACTCAAAACCCTGGACCACCTTCTGAACCAAACAGCTAGGAAGACCAATGTTGTCCTGCTCATTTTTCCTGCCCTTGAGGCTGATTGCATTGAGCAATTTACCACGAGCTCTCCCGTGCTCCTCCGGATATTTCCCATTGTTCAGATTGGCATTTTTGAGTATTTTGATGTGGGTCTATCCACACCATCGTAAGGTGCTCATATTTATACAATCCTTACCTGGCTATCTTCTGCCATAAGTTTGGGTTCGGAGCTCCTGTATCAGCGAGAGCTCCAATACAAGCCAACATGAGGTGAATTGCAAAGAATGTGAATACTCCCGCTTTAATTGACCACACATGTCCTCCGCTATAGTAAACCGCTGGTACAGCGATCAATGGAAGACCACGGAGAATGTTGATGAGAATTGGGAGGAGCTGTTGTAGAGAGAGAAAGATACATGCAAGGCTAAAGCATTAATTAATGACAGAGTCAAGGAGGTTACCTTACTGTTACTCTGTTTAAACACGATATGTACTTGCCGAGGAAATATCATGCTTAGGGATCAGTCATTATTTATCAGGGGTTGCTAGATTTTGGTAGTGTCACAATAACGTTTACCAGATCTTCCCATAAGGCTCTGTAACATTCTCTGACAGGCAATGTTTGTCCTTTATAATCAGTTGGCAACGACCGATCTCTCCACAGTTCACCCTGAAAACCCTGTGATTCCATAAAAATCTTGCCTCCCCCCTAAGCTTCCCCCTCCTTTTCCGTCAGAGCAGCTGATCTCAACTGCACTGAGGTACGCAAAGCATGGTATGTCCTTGCCAAACGAATATCATGCTTAGAAAGAAACTCCCTGAGAAGACCATAACTCTCAGCAGTCCTTCAGTAGTTATTGTAAGAGGTAACTTATCTGATCCCTGGTTGAGCAACCTCTTACCTTCATGAGCCATCCCTCCTTTTCAATTGCCTCGAGGTTGCTGATCACTGTGGCTCCCATTTCGAGTCCAAGAATCGTGGCAACGCGCAATTCCTCAAGGTTATCACCGTACCCGGAAATTGCTGCTGCAGACGTTGCCATGGCGTCTGACAACTCTATATCTCGAGGCCTCAGCCTATCCTTGAATGGATCGACAGTCGATGGACCTCGATCTAAGCGCTCTATTGTGGTAGGCGACATTGTCAGGAGATCATCATCCGTGTCAGAATCTGCCTCTTCCTTCCAGCTGTGGATGGTCATGTTTGATATATATTCAGGCTCTAGGCCTCTGAGATCTGCCAGGTTCAAAGATCTTTTCTTTTCTGGCTCAATGTCATCCGCCAAATAATTAAAGCTACCTCTCTGTTCTCTGTGACGAGAATCCCGCTTCTGTTTTCTCTTCAGACATGTCCACAAAAGACAGAAAATCTCCTGGAGTATTTCCAGACATCCCTTGGTAGCTAAACTTTCCTTTGAGTAAAATGCCTTCTGAAGTCTCCATCTGCAAAGGGGTAGAGTTAAAAGTGATCAAGTAAGTAATCATTCTCCGGATAAGGTAGACGCGGTTGCCTAATTGTTAGTGCACTGAACTACTGGAGTTCGAGAGGTCTAGGTTCGAGACCTGGCCTGGTCAGTGTGGTGTGTTCTTGGGCAAAACACTGAACGCTTACAGTTCCTCTCTCCACACCGGAGTAAAAATTGGTATCTGCGAACTGTCAAGGAAGCTTGATGAAATTCTTGAGGGGGGGAGGGGGGGGAGGAGGGTTAGTAATACTTCTAGTCATGCCAAGATAGCCGGGTAAGCTTCGGCTGGGAGGACCACTTGGCCGCAGTACCGACCCTACCTTTCTTTTCTGCGGATAAACATTACCTTTTTGAGTCTTACCTGTTGAAGATATGGACGAGCCTCTTCCTTGATTGTGCCAGGTAGGGAACAAACCACATGATAAACCCAGAGGCAAAAAGCAGCCCATTAAACAGCCCATCAGAATACACAACACCAACAACCTTGGCTTTGTACACTTTCCAATAGATGATGTAAGAGTAGAGATAGATTAGAATGCCGTAGGACGTTTTGTCCCGCAACAGAGGTAGGACGAACCATAGTACCACACCAATTACTACGATAATCGCCCGACTCCACAGGGGGATTTTAATGAAAAAATCGTTGATTGCAAATGGGAGGAAAGTAAGAGAAAGAAGTAAGAAGGAAATTATTGAGAAAAGTCTGAAATATTTAGACTTCCTCCTAGACAACCATTGCGACAGAATGTAGGAGATGACAAATGACATGACCAGAACCGTAAACAGGGAAATCTTAGAGAAAACTACGTTTTCTGGACATGGAGTACGGGTTGGTGCAAACTGGTCACAATCCACTTTGGCTCGAAGTAACTTTCCGAAAAGGTAATCGATGATGAAGGCAAGTGGAAATGCGTATGATCCATATATGACAATCGGTTCAATGAAGGTGACAGTCAGTACGAGGAGGAACATTACAATTGTATCAACGATTCCTTGACGTGGCTTCTCCCAGTTACAAAAGTAACCTGCTCTTTGTCGCATGTTGTCAAAGAACTCTTCATGCCATTCTTCGCTGTCCTCTGTTTTCTTCTCTTTTCTGTATTTCCAATCCAGAAAGGATGTGCCTGTGTAACCACCCCCTGACACGCAGCTCAGGTAGTCTACTTTTGCTTTATCCTTTAGCAGCCTGCGCAGGACTCCAGAGCATAGTGCTGCTGACCGAATGCCACCACCAGAAAAAGCCAAACCAGTTTTTTTAGATGTCATGTTGTCTGAAAGTTTACAAAGTTATTTTTAATAAACAAACATATGAAAACATACAAACATATGAAAATCATATGTGTACACTGCGGTTGAAGAAACGAATATAGAGTCGATCCTCGCAGTTATGAACACTACTGAACTTGTAGTTGAAATAAATTTCATCTACTAGTTCAGTAGTGTTCATAACTGCGAGGATCGATTCTGTATAAGTTATTTTTAGTTCCAAACATTAACAGAACCGTAACAGTTTTTAGATCCAAACTAGTAGGATCTACGCATAACACTTTTAAAACTGGTTTTACCCCTTCGTATTTTTAGAAAAAAATCTCCTCCCTCCTTAACAGATTTGCAGTTGACTGATTTACGTATGGCTCATCAAAAATATTCTTCTTTTGGGGTTAAATTTCACAAAACGAAGTACACCTGTACCTATTTGTATCAAGTCCAAATTCGTACGATGCCAAATATTGGTTTGGGTTATATGGAACGCTAACACTGTCTTAAGTGATTTCCCATCATTATATGCGGTGCATTGTTCATTATATGCGGTGAAATTTTCATTATATGCAGTGCTTTGTTTATTATATGCAGTGCTTTGTCCGACATATGTGGATGTGGTGCTTTTTACATTATCCGCGGTCCTTTTGTCGTTATATGCAGTGCTTTCGTTATTATTTGTTGTGCTTTCGTCATTATATGTGGTACTTTGGTCATTATATGAGGTACTTGTTATATTATATGCGGTGCTTTTGTCATTATATGCGGTACTTTCTTCATATTGTGGATGAGGTCGAGATTCGACGGGGAACTGGGTAAGAGCTTATAAAAACCCACAATGCAATGGGTGCCGAGGATCCGCCATTTTGTTTCCAGGGCTCGAACGGACATCATGGATTCAATTTTAAACCAGTTGAGCTCGGGAACCCTCTCAGAGAACTTTTCCAATGAAAGGATAAACCCAGGAGTGGCATTATCTATGAAAGATAGCGATTTGGCCGGCCTAGGAGTGAGCACAATTCGTGACCGTATTCGACTCAAAGAACTGTGCACAAACTATGTTGCTGCACCACATATAATATAAATATAAATAGTACCTCATATAAAAAGTACATAAATATAGATATTAAGTAAATATAAGTAAATATAAAAAGTGCGTCACATACTGACCAGAGCATACAATGACAAAAGCATCGCATGTAGTGTAAAAAGCACCACATATATTGGACAAAGCATTGCATGTAATGTAACGCTTATGATGGAAACTTCACCGCATACAATGCAAAAAGCACCGCATTTGATGCAACATGCACCGCATATAATGATAGGAAATCACCTTCAGGCCCTTACGGGCCTGAATTTTTTTTTTCAGGCCTTATAATATACATGAAAAAATTACTCAGTTCTGACTGGTTAAGATAAATGCAGTTTTCAGGTAATTCAATGCAGAAGAGGGTTAGTTCAGTGCAAAGAAGTAACAAACCAGACATTCTGATTGGTCAATAATCAAAGAAACTCACAGATAGCCAGTGAAATGCGAACCTTGGATGTCGCAACATTTGGATACGCTGAAAATTTGCGAGCGAAACAATGGCGGGTGTTTTAAGTAGGTTTTCTTTTGCCACCGCAACAACGATACAGCTCTAACAACGAAAACACTGTAAAAAGAACTGAATTTTGGTTTTCGGTTTGGAAAAAGTGTTGTTTAGAGAAGGGAATTTGCCAAGGAAATCGAAAATTACGAGCTTAATTAGCTTAACACTTTGCTCGAGCAATTCTACGCCGAAGTTAAAAACAAACATGGTTCAACCTCGCAAACGACCATCCCATTTCATCGAAGGTGACTCGGACACAGACTGAACAATTCCTTAAACTGTTTAGCCGGACTTTGAACTTTTTTGCGCCTTAAAGATGTGAAAATATCATTGTATATTATTGTTTTGATCGTACACGGAACGCACAAATTTGAATAAATTATTTTTCCACTTGATGCATGCGCGTGCTTTGCTTCTATGATAAGCTATCTCGTATTTTTTCATGAATGTTATTAATACGTAATCACATGATTTTTCTTGTGCAATTTGGAATAAATGAGCACTTGTTAATTTTTTTCAAAGACCACAAATTGCACTCGCCCCACGGGCTCGTGCAATTTTGTTAGTGTGGAAAAATTTACCCGCGCTTACTTATTACGCGGGATGACGTAGTCAGCCAGCGTCTAAAATTCGGTAGCGCATTCCTTTCGTCGTCTTGGGAGTCAAAAATTGCCTTGTTTTTTTAACTTTCCCGTATCCCGTGCCCGTCCCGAGAAATTGTGTGGATTTTTATTGGCCCCAACGTCGAAGCACGTGCAAGTCAGGCTGGATTGCACAAGCCGATAAAACATACTGCGTCAGCAAAGGAGGGAAAAGTAAGCTCACTGTGTAGAGGAGGACGAAGACTCAAGGCAGTGCTCTTAATACGACGCAAGATTTGGCCTCGGGCGACTGAAAATATTGTCTAGGTGGCCCAGCCGGGCGACTTGCTGGTGTTGGTTTCTTGTTTCTGTTGAGTTACAGTCAAAACGCTAAGAATGTCTAGAATTTATTACTTGCGAAATCGTAGCTCTCTCGGTGGCTTCGCGGCCTAAAAAGAACGCCCCTCTCGCTAAGAAACTCTTGAGGTCGACTCTGTAAGTAGCAATAAGTAGCATGTCTATCAAAAAGCTTTAGGAAAATGTTGTTCAATCGGGCAGCGGGCACGCGTTGATGTTCAAAGGTCGTTTCACGTGAATTCACATGTAACATAATCCTTGACTATGAACGTGACAAGCTGCACAGTTTTCGATAGTAACAGCTTTTCATAGTAACATTGAAATTTTTTCTTCAAATCAGGATTGTTCATTAGTTAGTTTTTCAAAACAAGTTGTTACTTTTGCTCTGACAGGCGTGAAGTACGGTCGGCGACGCAAAACAATAGTTTTGTATTTTGAAAAATCGCTGAATAAACAAGGGAGTCGGTCTTCTATTTTTACCTTTTTTGACTGCTGTGTCTGCGAGGATAAAACATAACTAAGATTGTTATTCCAGTAAAATACGATGCATAAAAAAGAAAAGAGACGACTATTATAATTGTGATTGTTCTAGAATCGGGTATAAAGGGGGTATAAATCTATAAAATCCCGCATTGTCTTTCGTGTCGTGACAAGGCATTACGTATCACGTACTAAAAATAAATACGCAAAAGCTAACCGAATCTACATTTGTCTTGAACATTTCACCGGTAATATAGAAAGAAAATACTTCTGTTTTGCGCTTAAAAGACGACTTTACAACAAGATGATCTATTCAAAAGAGATCATAGTTTTGGGGCGGCCCCCGGTGGGGGCACTTCCTTATAAAGAGGCTAATAGGGATGTGCCGCTGGATGGGGTCGCATTTTCACGACTAGATTGAACATTAATGGGGTTGCATTTTCAAAAGAGTTACTAGAATGGGGTCGCACATTTTCGGATTTTTGGGGTAAGAGAGCTGTTCATATTTACGGTTAGCAAACCTATCAGGATATTTGTACTGTAGGCGAAAAGTAAAGTGTTCTTCATTCAATTTATTTAAAAAATAGGTCAATTCATTTCTTGATGACCTATTTAAAGGATTGATAAGGTAGATACATAAATAGAAAGTGACTAACTTGGGATCGCAAAAATTACATATTTCCACAAGAGTGACTAATATGGGATCTACAATATTGGCCACAGAAAAGACTATAATGGGGTAGGGGTTCTGGCGCGAAAACTTACTTTCATATAACAACATGCGGGTTTTTTTTTTTTCGCACGCTCAGGAGGTCAAAGGGATGTGATTTTTCATGAAAAAAATATTCACAAAATTCTGCTTGACTTGATAAGAAAATAATTTGTTTAATGTTTAATAATTAACTAACAGCTCATTGATTTATTAATTTGGGCGACCACCTTAGAGGCCCGGGTACCCCAGCTAAAAATGCTTGGGGAGCCCAAAGGGCTCTCTGAAATTTTCCCTAGAGCACTTCCTTGCAGCCCTGTAGTTATTGGAAGTATGATACGTTACATGCTATTGTTAAATGTGGAAGTGCATTTTTTGAGGACATTAGTAAAGGAATGCAAATTTTGGTGAAATACCCCATACTCCTATCATATATGGTGGTAATATTGATGTAAGTTTTTTTTGGAGTAGCAAAGGAACCCTTGTGTGTAACTCATCTTCTAGTGTATTAGTCCTTAACAGAACATCTCCGTCTCTCCTGCACACATTTGTTGCATACACTACTCAACTTCCATTTCCATCCAACATACCCGTAATTCTTTCTTAAACCCACAAATCCCGCGTAAGCGCCTTCAGGCGTCTTCTTGTTCCAAATTGCACTCGAAATCATGTGATTACGTATACTTATTTCAACTACTAGTTCAGTAGTGTTCATAACTGCGAGGATCGCTTATATTCGTTTCTTCTACCGCAATGCATTTATATGATTTAAATTTATTTACAATCACATGAGACAGTGTTGGCATTCCATAGGGTTAAGTCTTACCTTCTCTTTTATTTGGCGAACACTAATTATCACAAGAAAGAATATAACACGAGTGTATTGTATATGGGCCGTCCTAGCCTTTTATCTGCTAGAAGTGTTTATTATGTAACTCCTCCCCATCATGTCAATACTTTATCCGACAAACAGGAAATGAGAATACTAAGACTTATAGATGTTATCTTGATCTGACACCAAATTCTTGTAATTAATTTACAAGAAAATGTGTAGCAGCTAGAGGGGAGAATTAACAATCAGATCTTGGGAGTGAAAGGGTTAATCGAGTTTTTTTTTTCGGCACGGAAGACACCAATCGAAATTCCTTCTTCAAATTGTCGAAGACGAGAGAAAGTTTACCTTTGTCGACGGTGAACAAAGAGTAGAGACGTGAAATAAAATTTTAGCGCGCAATGCAGTCGTTGAGATATGGGATTTACTCAAACATAAAAGATAGACAACAGATATGGATCGTCTGTTCCCAGGCGGTGTGCGTCACGACCCACAAAGGTTCATTGGTAAAACTGTTACTGTGCCTCATTTCAATCGTGACATGGTCGAGTTCGCATCTCGTAAGAGAGATGAATCAAACCCAGGGATCAAAAAACTGATGCCTTTTCTGAAAAACATTACGGAAGAGAGCGATTTGGAGAATTTTCAAGATCTCATAGGGGCCTTAGATGCTTGCTATTGGCTTCCCAAGACAATTTCAATAAGTTTATCGCGGTTCGGAGACGATCGTGCGATCTAGCCGACTAATGAGCGGCGACTAATTTCCAACTTCGCATAAGATTTTATGTACTGTTTGATTTATATGTATATTTTTATCTCATAGTGAAAGAGATCTCTAATTCATACCTGGACTTGCTTAACTAAAAAAAATCGTCCATCAGAAGTGTTTATACATTTGATGGACTTTATTACCGGTCGAGGAGGGGGAGCGCGAGCAAACAGCAAGGTGAGAAATCGTCTCTCATAACAATTTTATTTTCATCGACAAGTTTATATTATTTTGAAAACAGTGCCCGTTTGAAATTCTTATGCGTAAATAAATCTTCTATCAGGCAAGGGGAAAACAGACCGAAAGAGCCGATAAGCTACAGCACAATCGGAATTTCACCGAAGCTCCAGCGGCAGAAATAAACCACTATCTTGTCTGTGCGTCCATTGAAGTGAGCGCAGTTTATCGATTTTGTTATAAAGTAAAACCTAACCTCACCGTTTTAAAATCCTGTATGATGTTGTCTGGACCTTCGATAACGGTTTTGTGTTTTGGTAGAGATTTATAACAATTTATTCCCTCACATTAGTTTACATAAAGATTTGCATACACACAGCACACGCCGCATGCAAATTATTTTAAAGTCACGCTTTCAGTTTCCGCACTGGGTTATGAAAATATTTTGTTTCCAAAGGTTATTACAATATTCAAACTTATTTACCACTTCTGGTCTAAAATAGAACAAACTCTTCCTAGATTTGGGGTTACTCGCTTCACGTCGGCTTCCGCTTCGGCATGTTTTCTCAACCCGTTTCACGGGAGTTGTGCCACTTGGTTGAGACGATGTTTTAATTCCAAGACACTTTCAACGGCTCATAACGGGAAAACTAACAGGGGTAGACCCGGGTAGACCTCGAAATTTGCAAAGAAGAAAGGTTGAAGCAAAAAGAGGGCCAAAATAATTCGATAAAACCGCTAACAGTAACCAACAATGAATCCAAGAAGAACGGCAAAAACAACACTCAAATCATCATGGCGGCCTGCACATGACCGAGCAATTCAAACTTCTCACAAACGCTCAAGAAAGTAAAATATTTAAAAGTAACGCGACTGCTATCAAGATGAAGTGTTCCAACAACTTTCCACGACGGTATAGTGTCGAAATTACCAACACAAGCTTGGAATAAAGCGAAAATTTCACCACATATACCTCTAAAAAATGCTCTTTCCAAGCGCGAAAATCACTCTACAAATGACGCATTCTGATTGGTCGAATCTCGTGACGCACACCGCCTGGTCTATTCCAGAACACAATTTCTACAAAATTAAATTAATTCAAACTTCTGGGTGAGTGTGTCATAATTACCAAACGGAAATTGTGACACGTCATCAGCGCGCCGTTGTGCACGCGTTACTTTAGATAGCGAAAAAATGCAGAATTTCAAAACTTCTCGAAGGGGACCATCAGCAATGAGAGCCGAGAGATACGGTACTTTGCTTTCTTGTAAATTTCAGTTTTTTAAAAATTAAAGTCATGGCGACCAGATCAGGACACTGAGATGAATGCTTTCAATTTCTGTTAGCGCTGTTGATCTTGTGGAATTAACGGGTTTATGAGGATGGGTATTTTATGTGGAAAGGAAAAGGGAAAGAGCTTTGCATGATTTGAAAGTGCTTTTCCTGATAAATAAACCTGAATCATACATACCGTTCCTGTATCGGCAGACGTGATACTGTACCAACCGGCTTTCCAAACAACCGGGACTGACTCTGTTCACCGTTCGGAAATATATACAAATATGTGGAAACGGCTGTCACTGACCGAGCGCCAATGCGATAATATTCCGCATTCCAAATGAAAGGAGCAGTGCCTGATAACACTCAAAGTAAATACTTCCTGTCATCGCTATTTACATAGGCATCGAGTGTCGATCACGTCCGTAACCTTTGGAAAAAAAAGCCTTGCCCTTGGAATATGAGCGACACGGCTCACTGAACAAGGGGAAGAAAGAGTGAGTAAGAAAACATCACGGTTAATCAAAACCACGAAAATTGAACTAGTTAGTAAATAAAAATCACGGAAGCTTTATCTCCATTTATTTAGGCATCGAGTATCTATCACGTTCCTGGGAAGAAGTCCTTAACCCTTACTAAGTTGTTGATGCGCATTTATGGCTTTCGACGCAAGAGGAATACAGCTCACTGAACGAGCGGAAGAACTGTTGCGTTTTCGAGTACCGTTACCTGTCGACAAACAAAAAATTTGCGACCTCTCGCCAACTGCTTCAAGTTAGCAAGACGTGTTGCAGCTCACTGGGATACGAAAGTGTGAGTGACAAGTTGTGAGTTTATTCGCAACTCCTCAGCAGGAGACAATTTAGCACAAAAAACGTCTGAACAGAATTATAATCGTGGACAATAATCTTTTATAGAATCGTTGTAATGAACAGAACAACTTTTGAGAGTTTTGTGCGGATCTGTTCATCTTGCAACTTCGCAAATGAGATTTAGTTAATTTTTTGATCGGAAATAAATATCACTTCTTAAGAGCGAATGCACAGAAAAATCGAGCAAACCGTGGCCACAGCTCAAAACCTAACCTACCCTCATTTTAAGTCTGTAATAAGGTTTTAATGAGTTTATAACGCTGCTGAGGTTTAAATTTCAAAATGCGGCCGAGTTTGGGAATTATTTGAGATTTTCGATTTCAACGGTCTGCGGGCCTAAAATTAGCCGCCGAACACGGCACTATAGCCTAGCGACAGAGATGAGCTGACTTTCATAAACGAGCGAATATATTGGCAATCTTCCACTTAAATCTCAAAAAACAGATATTGACAATTTCTAAACAGCACATTTTTTAGATTTAGAGAATAAAATATCGACGAACCAGCACAATTTTGAAACGTAATTTGCATAGTGCTTATAAATACAACAATTTACCGCTAAAACCAAAATCGAATTTTCTATATGGGGGAATTCTCCAAATCACCCCAAATCCCTCTTACTACCCAATGAGATATAGTACTTCAACATTATCTGAAAGTTAGTCTGGTGTTCTTGCGAACCCTTGTAAAATAGATTGATTATTTTGAGGTTATTTTGCCCCAAACAACCGCTAATTAACCCCAGGGTCAGTTGACAAGTGCACGTCACCTTAGTCTTATGCATCGATTTGAGCTCGTTAAAAGGGAGAAACTAACAAGATTCTTTTAATATGTACCTTTTTTAATGAAATACACACAATCTTCAAAAGGAGGGGCCGTTCAATGGGTAATTTCTGCTCTTGAGATCTTGTAGATTGCAGCATGGCGTCTGCGAGTGGACCTGAGTCTAGGTCTGTTTTCCCGTGACTGCGAAATCAGAATAACATCAAGAAATAATTCTCCCTCGAATCTTCGTAAGTGAATCAGCTTTGCAGTGCCTTACCTGAGATAAAAAGTGGGCCGAATAGCAAAACATTTCTAGCGCAATTTGGATCCTTTGTGGAGCGCAGTGCATTGCTGAGCGAAAGGTGAGTCAACAAACGTGGGAAAGTACGTTACCTTTGATTGCGTGACCAGCCAATAAACGATGGTCTCCAGCGAAAAATAGGATTCGCAAAAATCTTGCTGATGTATATTTAACAGTTTGTTACTATAAATTTACACCTGGTTTGTCTAAAACTGTAAACAATGCATATCTGTCCAAGAGTATAAGAATGTTTCGAAAGATCCAGCCCTAAATAACTGTGGGCTACTCCTTTTTCCCCATCACCGATGAGCACTTCCTTCCCACTGTCTTTTGCATGAAATAATTCTCGCTCGAATCTTCGTAAGTGAATCAGCTTTGCAGTGCCTTACCTGAGATAAAAAGTGGGCCGAATAGGAAAACATTCTAGCGCAATTTGGATCCTTTGCAGCACGTAGTGTATTTGCTAAACGGCGATGGTATCAATGACTTTTAATTAGTCATCACTCACCTCCGATCGCGTGACCAGGCAATTATCGATTGTCTCCTGCGAAACATTTTTGGTTTCCGGTGCACTTAAAGTGCACGGGAAACCAAAGCTTTCGGGATACAGTAAATTCATTTTCCTGTATGACCAGGTGTCCTTTTGTCCTATTTTAAAAGCGGTTAACTAAGATGATTAGCAAACATACTGTCCCACTTTTCAAAATGGTACAGTAACTGAATGTTCTGTTCTGATTTTACCCCCAACCCCTGAGTGTTCAGAAGATATATTTGCACTACGCATGAAAGGCAAATGGATTAAATTTTAAGGTTCAAGGCGGTTTTAAGGCATGGGTTACCAGTGGATTAGTCAGACTTCTCATAAGGTGCATTGAGCAGAAAATTACAGGCATGCTATCTCTGCTATTGTATGTCCATTAAGTGATTTTCCAGCAAACATTATTTTTTGACTTTTTTACCCCAAAAGGTTTTTCCGTTCAATTCTTATCTATAAGATCTAAACTTAGTTAAATTTTTGTAATTTGTTGTTAAATGCAATTCTGCAAACAACTAAGTATTTAATTTTGCGTAAAAGCTACGTGAAATTGTACTGTTTAGCCGTAAATCATTGAAAAGAGAAAGCATCATGCTTTCTCTTTTCAAGTCTATTATTTAGGACTTAAGCAATGGCATTGCTTAAGTCCTAGTAGTTGTTCTCCATGTCTGCTAAGGAGGAAATAGTTTGCTCTTTTCAAGAAATTGTTCTTGCCCATTGCGGTTTCAAACCAAGGATAGCAGCAAGTCTGTCGTGGTCATATACTGCTACTTCAGTGCAAACGAAGCATAGGCGCACAAGTCAGCGCTTAGGTTTAGTCAGGTGCCGAAAATGAAGTGGAAACTTAACCCCAAGGGCGTCCATGTTCGCTCCGGCTTGAAAAGGTAGAATCAGTTGTGCAGTAAAAAGTAATGCGAAAAACCTGCGGGGGCTGGGGAAAGAAAGGCGTCTTATTTTTCTTTGGCTTGTTCTATTTTCGCGTGGTACAGACTACGAAATACTGACAAGCTCAGTATATGTCTTCACCACCGAGAGTCACTTGCCCTTAGCCGGACACGCCCCTCACGTATCATGTTTCGTTCCTAAAGTTATTTCAAAGCACAGAACCAAACCTAATCAGTGGCGGAAGGCAGAAAGGGGAATGAGCAAACGGATGTCACAGCATATTTTGCAAGAAACTGGTATCCTTGTGCCTATCGGCTCAGGAACGATTGATTACTACTAGAATTAATATCAGGGTCAGAATCTGAGTGCTACAATGGGAGGGAAGGAAGAAAAGGAAACCGCCGCGCACACCTGTTAAGTCTTTTATAAACTTTCTCGTCCTGACGGTTTCAAAGAAGGGCGTTGTGGCTGCTATTTAATTTACAGTGTCTGTTGCAGGTGTCGAATTAATCTTACAGCAACTGGAAACGTGGCCACGCCTGCTGAAACTGAGATTGTTTGTAGGATGAACGACTATAGTTTGGTATATTCACGAGCGCGTTTTGTGCAGTGAACTGAGTGCGTAGTTTTTCTTAACGAAGGGATGGGGTGGGTCAAGTGAGTAGTTCGGGGAACGTTTGCTCTCTTTAGGGCGGGGGGGGGGGGGAGGATATATTTGTTGCTAGCAGGAGTTCTGGCCTGGATAGAGTCGTTGTAAAGCTATTTTTGTTTCGGAGTATCGGTTTACCGGAAGCTGAGCAAGGAAAAGTCAATGGTGCATTTATGGAATAATAATAGAGATTCTCATGGTCTAACAGTGCGAAGATTAGACTTCTGGCAAGGTGGTAACGATCAAGGCCCGCATTATAATTCATGGTAATTGAAGGTCATGATGTGGAAAAAGCGACTGAAATGGTGGATGCCATGCAATCCTCTCGGGTGGGGGCGGCATACCTGGCCTTAACGGTTGCCCCTGCGACAGAAGGCAAGCATGCCCAGATTGTCCACGGGTTGCTAAATGAGGCCGTCCCTTTCCTAGTACCCGTTCCCTGTCTTATAATTAGACCCGGGCAAATTTCTCGAGATTGCACCATCATTTTGGGCTTAAAGCTTCCAAAGTCCAACAATAATAGCGCATGTTCGCGACGGTTTTTTAAGTCAGTCAAGTTCTTAAACCAGGCCTTAAACGGCCAGTTTTAAGTGTCGATACCAGTTTTAACTGTATGCCTTTAAGGCATACAAGCCTCATGCAAAAGACAGTGGGAAGGAAGTGCTCATCGGTGATGGGGAAAAAGGAGTAGCCCACAGTTATTTAGGGCTGGATCTTTCGAAACATTCTTATACTCTTGGACAGATATGCATTGTTTACAGTTTTAGACAAACCAGGTGTAAATTTATAGTAACAAACTGTTAAATATACATCAGCAAGATTTTTGCGAATCCTATTTTTCGCTGGAGACCATCGTTTATTGGCTGGTCACGCAATCAAAGGTAACGTACTTTCCCACGTTTGTTGACTCACCTTTCGCTCAGCAATGCACTGCGCTCCACAAAGGATCCAAATTGCGCTAGAAATGTTTTGCTATTCGGCCCACTTTTTATCTCAGGTAAGGCACTGCAAAGCTGATTCACTTACGAAGATTCGAGGGAGAATTATTTCTTGATGTTATTCTGATTTCGCAGTCACGGGAAAACAGACCTAGACTCAGGTCCACTCGCAGACGCCATGCTGCAATCTACAAGATCTCAAGAGCAGAAATTACCCATTGAACGGCCTCTCCTTTTGAAGATTGTGTGTATTTCATTAAAAAAGGTACATATTAAAAGAATCTTGTTAGTTTCTCCCTTTTAACGAGCTCAAATCGATGCAGAAAACTAAGGTGACGTGCACGTGTCAATTGACCCTGGGGTCAATTAGCAGTTGTTTGGGGCAAAATAACCTCAAAATAATCAATCTATTTTACAAGGGTTCGCAAGAACACCAGACTAACTTTCAGATAATGTTGAAGTACTATATCTCATTGGGTAGTAAGCGGGATTTGGGGGGATTTGGAGAATTCCCCCATATAGAAAATTCGATTTTGGTTTTAGCGGTAAATTGTTGTATTTATAAGCATTATGCAAATTACGTTTCAAAGTTGTGCTGGTTCGTCGATATTTTATACTCTAAATCTAAAAAATATGCTGTTCAGAAATTGTTAGGTATCTGCTTTTTGAGATTTAAGTGGAAGATTGCCAATATATTCGCTCGTTTATGAAAGTCAGCTCATCTCTGTCGCTAGGCTATATTGCCGTGTTCGGCGGCTAATTTTAGGCCCGCAGACCGTTGAAATCGAAAATCTCAAATAATTCCCAAACTCGGCCGCATTTTGAAATTTAAACCTCAGCAGTGTTATAAACTCATTAAAACCTTATTACAGACTGAAAATGAGGGTAACTTAGGTTTTGAGCTGTGGCCACGATTTGCTGATTTTGCTCGATTTTTCTGTGCATTCGCTCTTAAACTTTCACTCTTAGAGCGAACAATCATTGCTTAACATAAGTCGTTCGCTTTCGTTCCCCTTTGAAATCACACCAAAACCGCACTAAATTAAGGAGAACGAGGAAAAATTCAACTTTAGATAAGCATTGAGTTTCGGTCTATAGATGAAATTAAAACAGCTGTTTGCCCAATTTTGAGCTTTAAAAAGTGCAACTTGTTATGACGGATGTGAAGTTTCGAGATCGAAAGACTTAAAGCGCAATGTCTAACAATGTCTGCGATGTCCTATCTATGTAAGGAAGTTATTCCCAAATATTTCTTCTTTATTCAGACCCCCCGCTGAGTTCCCGAAAACTTCCTCGGCATGACACATTTAAAACGTCTGAACAAAATTATAATCGCAGACAATAATCTTTCTTAAAAGCATATTAAATAACAAAACAACTTTTGTGATGCATCCGGTCGTTCTAATTTAAGTTGCAACTCACAAGTTAGTTTTTTGATCAAAAAACCTTTCACGTTTGATTGCTGCATCCTCACAACTGTCACCAACTGAAGAAGAAACTTCAGCAGTTTGTTAGGACGTTTTGGGAAAGCCAGAAATAATTTGTGCGAGCTTTTTTAACTTTTAAAGCGCGCACGAGTTGGTTTCAGCTGAATGCGGAGACCGGAAGCAAATTAAAACATTTAATCAGTCCTAGCCTGCAGAGCAGGCGTAATTTTGGCGAAACCAAAATTATTTTGGTCAATTTTAAACCTTGATTGGAACTCTCACCGTTGCTAATCGGATGAAAATATTACTTCATAAATTTCCACTTTAAGAGCGAACAATCATTGCTTAATCGTTCCCAAGAAAGCCAGAAATAATTTGTGCGAGCTTTTTTAACTTTTAAAGCGCGCACGAGTTGGTTTCAGCTGAATGCGGAGACCGGAAGCAAATTAAAACATTTAATCAGTCCTAGCCTGCAGAGCAGGCGTAATTTTGGCGAGCGAGTGCTCAGTATTTTCCTAACAAACATTATGGCCGCCACGTTTCATTTTCATGGCAACGAGAGGCTGTGGAGAGAAAGAAATTTGTACCAAGGGAGTGGCTGTCGGTCAAAAATAAGGAGAGGGGTGGCGGTGGGGAAGTAAAGATTATCGCCCTTTCCCCGCCCCTACCCCCACCGTCCACTCTAACTCCAACCAAACAAGGGCGGTCGGATAAACGATCGCGAGATTTTAAAGTTAGCTCGCACTAATAAGACGCCTGCACTGCAGGTTAAATCAGTCCCACATATTATCTCGAGTACAAGTTGTTCGAACCCTGAAAATCAAAGATACAGTGTTTGAAAAAAATGGTCTTTACTGGTACGGTACTGGAAAAGACGTCATAAAGATCAGCTCCGTCGCAAAAAACTTCCTTCTCCAGTATAAATTCACATATTTTGTTGTAGAGTTACAATTTCTTACAATGAAGGCCCCTTCCAAGATCTTAACGTTTCAAATGCGATTACAAACGAAACATTCGTAGATGTCGACTTGCATCACAATGAGAAAGGTCGCAGAAAACGAGATCGACTTTTATATTTTTTTCACAGGCCAGAGAAACAAAAGCAAAGTTCATCTCCGTGACATGCCATAACAACACATAAAAAAAAACAATGCATTGTAGTTCAGTCAGACTGGGCAAATATAGTTATTCAAGACTCGACTTTTTTACAATCAATCCGTCGATTCCAAAACGTCAGGTTCTTGCTTGTCTCTAGCGGCTAGTATCAATGCATCTTTAAGAATCGTGAACTCTAACTTCCATAACAATGAAGCTGGCGCCGGCGGATCGGCACTAGTAGATAAGCATTGAGTCTTGGTCTAGACAACAAAACAACTTTCGAGAGTTTTGTGATGCATCCAGCCGTTCTAATTTAACTTGCAACTCACAAGTTAGTTTTTTGATCAAAAAACCTTTCAAGTTTGATTGCTGCCTCCTCATCACTGTCACCAACCGAAGAAGAGATTTGTTATTTCAGAAGTTTGTTGGGACGTTTTGGGAAAGTGGGATATAATTTGTGCAAGCTTTTTCGCTTTTAAAGCGCGCACGAGTTGCTTTCAGCTGAATGCGGAGACCGAAAGCAAAACTGAGACAACAAATCAGTCTCAAATATTATCTCAAGGGTAAGTTGTTCGATGACCTCTCGGTAATAGTAACGCAAAATCCAATCGATTTAATCATTTGGATAGTCTCCGCGGCATGCTATAACATCGTTAATAATATTTTACATGCTATCGGATTGTAACAGTACGATTTGGAAACCAGGACTGTGATCCATGTGCTTGTTTACAGGACTTTGCTTTACTTTTAATAGCGTACTTATTACAGTAAGTATCCTTATCTCCGGTAGACGTGAACTTACTGATTTCATATGCTAATACGAAGCTCCATGCAGTGCCCAAAGCGCTCAAATGAAGCTTTCACATTTAAGGAAAGGTGAAAATGGCTGCCCCAGAACGTGGGTACCTCGCATTTGGTCAGTTCGTCCGTCCATCCATCCAATATACTGTAAACTAAACTTTGTTTATCTTATTTATATTATTCATCATTTAGTCCTGCAGAAGAGTACTTTTAATTTATTACTTTAAGAAAAATATTAAAAACAACAACAACAACAACAACAAAAAACTATAACAGATCGTTTATGGGCAGAAGACCGGGAGAGTTTGGCATGCACCAATTAAATGACGGCACAGTTTAAATAAAAAGGCATTCATTAATCATTATATTCTGGAATTTCTCATGCCATTTTACTAGTAATACTTTGTAAAGCTCTGATTTTTAAAAATTTCAGGTTCAAACATTGTGAATGTGTATGTTTCTCTTCATGGAAAAGACGCTAAAACTTGTGGCACCCTAAGTCTCCCTTGTCGGTCCATTGCTCAAGCGGTTTATCGCGTGGGCCATGGCGGGAACATCTATCTGGACGGACGTGGGACCAAGAAACGCCCCTATGGCTGCAGAAAGGGTCGCAATATTTTGATAGATCGCCCAGGTGTTTACGTGAACAAGACCTTGACTCTGAGGGGACTCTACTCCACCCCACACGTTTTATGTACTGATGGATTTTATTTTCAGAAGACAAATGGCGAACAGCTGACATTTGCTTTGGTGTTGTCAGGAATCGATTTTCAACAAACTCCGCTAAAGTGTAATGACTGCCAGCGCATCACAATCCACAACTGTTCGTTTCATAATTCTTCAAGAGCCTTGGCCATCAAAATACAGAACGTTACATCTTTTCAGCTTGACTTAAAAGGCAATTCAAGGTTCCGAAATAATTCACAATGCATCAACGTCCTTTTACTCAATAATACTAAAGGAAAAAGTCAAGACGTTACACTTAATATAAAAGATGCAATGTTTGAAAGAAATGATCTATACTGGCAGGGTACTAGCAGAGAGGTCATAATGATCAGATCCGTCGCAAAAAATGGTTCTTCTCCGGTATATATTCACATATTTTTCTGCAGAGTTGAAAGTTCTTACAATGAAGGCCCATTCCTACATCTCGACGTTTCAAATGCGATTACAAACGAAACCTTCGTAGATGTCGACCTACATCACCATGGAAAACGTCGCGGAAAACGAAATCGACTTTTATATCTCTCACATGCCAGAGAAACAAAAGCAAAGTTCATCTCCTTGACATGCCATAACAACCCAAATAAGCAATGCTTAGTAGTTCAGTCAGACTGGGCAAATATAGTTATTCAAGGCTCGACTTTTTACAACCAATCTGTCGATTCCAAAAAGTCAGGTTCTTGCTTGTCTCTAGCGGCTAATATTAATGCATCTTTAAGAATCGTGAACTCTAACTTCCATAACAATGAAGCTGGCGCCGGCGGATCAATTTTTGCCAATAGCAGACATGGAGTTCTAAAAGTCTTTCTTATCAATGTAACATTCAGTGAATGCAAAGCTGCCAGTTATGGATGCGTGATATCCATTGGAAGAACCGCTCAAGACCCGCCAGAAAGACATTGGGGTTCCCACAGGTTATATTTTACTCTCAGGAATGTAACTGTTCAACAATGGGAGGGAAATCATGGAAACAAAACACCAAGGTGTATGGCTGTAGACGTTCTGCTCAATGGCGGAATTGTGATATTCGAGGGATCCACGTTTACGAAGAAAATGTTATCAAGAGGCGATGGAGCTTTCAAGCTGGTTACCACTGTAGATGAGAGTAACATTACAATTTCAAACTGCATTTTCAAGGACACTTCTATGGACGCAACTAGAGGAACGATTGTCTACACGGCCTCCGCAAACGGAAACGCAGGGATGGTTACATTTTCGAACAGTTTCATGGAAAACAAAAACAACAGAAAAATAGCTTTGTCCATAAGTCCCAAATACCACATTAAACTATTCAACGTGACATTCAAGTCTCTTAAATATGGATTACAAACAGTATCAGCTCCGCCAAAAAACGATTCTTTTCCAGTAGATATTTTCATTGATAACTGCTCCTTTATCGACAATACACATGATGCCATGTTTACACTTCTTAGTCCAACATCAGTCCAAATAACCATTAAAAACACGCTATTTAGCACCAGAAACGAAATAGTAAAACGGGACCAAAGTGAATACGGCTATGCTATCAGCCTCTTCATCCCACCACTTCGAAGTATTAATTCTTCAAAGGCAGTGATCCAACTTGACAATAACGAATTCTACCACAGATCGGCCCGCTTTTTTACTCTGTTATTCGAAGGCTTCAAAAACGTGACAGTTAAACACTCTTCCTTTCGTAATTGTCGTGCCAGTGCCTATAAACCCGAATGGGATCAAGGTGAAACTGGTTTAATTTACGAACCAACCGCCGGCGCCATCTCTATCCTATTCAATCCAGACAAACCGTTCAGTCTGGGATGTGTGAAATCCAAAAGCGCTAATGACACACACTCTTCATGGAACTATAGTAGCCATGTGCTCTTTGAAAATACAAAGTTTGAAGAGAACTTAGGAATTGAAGTTGGGGCTGTACATATCAGAAATGGCTTCACGAAATTCCGAAGATGTGTGTTTGTCAACAACTTTGGCATTCATAGAAGTGAACACGTTCATTCTGCATATGGAACTGGCCGCGTAAAATTCGAACATTGTTCTTTTTTGAAGACAATGAAAATTGCAACAATTTCAGACGGCTCACAATTTGATAAAGGTGTCTTCATTTACTCTGAAAGTGGAGGTCCCTTGATATTTAAAAACACATCAATGACCTCACTAAGATTTAACAGGAGCTCTTATCCGATTGTCGACATTTCTAGTGGGGGCTTTGTTCACATGGATGAAAAGTCCAGTATGAAATGTAATGAAGGAGAGGCTCTTATACGCAGAGAAAAACAAGAGCATTTGTGTATTGAATGTTACCGTTCTGAAATATTCGTGCAAACCCTGCCATCCGGGCTACTACAGCCTTCAGAAGGGGGTCTCCAAAGGCTTATTGATAACCTCCAGGGCTGAGTGTCATCCATGCCCATTTGGAGCCACTTGCATTGAAAGTAACATTGATGCGAAACCCAACTTCTGGGGTTATGTAGCACCTGGCAATCCATCGATGCTGAAATTAATTGCTTGTCCTGAAAATTATTGTTCATTGACTTCGTCACTAGACTACAGCAGCTGCCAAGGAAACAGAAACGGCACGCTCTGTGGACGGTGTGCTGATGGGTTCAGTGAGACTCTTTTATCAACTAAATGCCGCAAGTCTACCGAATGCAACGACTATTCTGTGTGGTTAGTGAACATATTTCTAACAATCATTCTGGCTTTCTATCTTTTGACCAAGCCCCCGATCCTGCGCACCCTGGAAAAACAAATCCTATGGTTCAAGAAATCAGATGAAGATAATCCGGGAGATGGATCTGACTTCAATGGTGGTGGTGAACATTCCGAGAATGGCTTCCATGACGAGCTTTGAAGCGCGAAAAATTTTTATGCAAATTAGCTGGCTGCACATTCAATGTGCAGCCACCTAATTTGCATAAGTAATTTAAAACCAAGGTATGACAGCTTTAGGCTCTTGAGGTGTCGGCTGAATACCCTAGGACTTCCGTAAATTGCCCACAAAAGAGTAACTCAAGCTACCATAAACTGAAATGAAAGTAACCGCAATATCCGATTAAAGCAAGGTTTAAATCTTTTTTCTGCTCGGCTAACCCTCTTCCAAGGCACTTACTATTTTAGTAATAATAAAACGGCATAAAGATTTTACATCGCGCCTTTTTCAGTCTCGGGCTGTAAATTATAGTATGAAACGGAGGTAAACTCAAGAATTCAGTTTTGTGACTGCCCTGCAACTTTGAAACTATTTAAGCCGCTTCCTAAAAGGCCGGGAAAATGTTTTTCGCAAAATTCGTAAAAGTAGCTCCTTATACTCTAATTTAACATTACCAAATTTAACAAACGCGCTAACTACTTTATGGTCCTGTATCAGTATGTAAAGGCATCAAATCCTTATAAAGCCGACAGAAACAACAATTAATATAATTTAAGACTTTTTTTGTACTGCTTTTATATCAAGCAAATGAAATAGTCCTGGCGATATGTCATTATCGTAAAATCGCCAAATTCAGTGGTTCCTAGATCACTAACACAAAATACTGCAATACATGTTCTTATACTGCTCTTTTGCTCCGCTTTGTTAAGGCAACACTCGTGCCAAAATCAAGTTCGAGCGCGGCCTAAAAAATAAAATGGATTGAGAGAAAGCGGTTAATTGACCATGAATATTCAAACAGAGTAAGAGTTGAATAAGATTATCACCTCCATAAGTCAAACAAGTCAATGTTATGTATTTTTTAGGTATAAATTAGCCGGGATACTACACCATTGATTAGAGTGTTTTTGCAAGTTAACTGTAGATTTCAGGTATACACTACCCAGGATACTACAGGAATGATTAGAGCATTTTTACGAGTTAACTGTAGTTTTCAGGTATACACTACCCAGGATACTACAGGAATGATTAGAGCACTTTTACGAGTTAACTGTAGTTTTCAGGTATACACTACCCAGGATACTACAGGAATGATTGGAGCATTTTTGCAAGTTAACTGTAGATTTCAGGTATACGCTACCCAAGATACTACAGGAATGATTAGAGCATTTTTACGAGTTAACTGTAGATTTCAGGTATACACTACCCAGGATACTACAGGTTAATACTATGCAACGCAGATAACAAAAGCTCAGGAAACAAGGGGACCCTGCATGACCCAGCGAGGCTACTTGTCTGCGAAATATTTTGAGAAAAGAGCTGACTCTCTCGAGTGTTGAACTAGAATAGAATAATCCAGAATTATAATTTTAAACATCAAATGCTACTGATATAATTATTAAGTTTTCTTACCTGTCTGGAGTCTCTTCCACTGATGTCAATGATCTGGGCGCCAAACAAACGCGCGCGGTACGTATTTCCCGCCACAAATAATTAAAAGCACTTTCATGAGACGGTGATCAAAATCAGTTAAAATGCAAAAAGCAAAATAGGAAAGCCGGCGTCAAATTGCTAGAGGCTAGCGATCGTTTGTTGGGCGGCGTGTGATAGAGTGAAACTGATAAAATATCGAGAAATCTGGACAGAATCGTTTTGTAATACATTATCAAAAATTATGTGAAATACATCATCAGAAAACATGTGCGACAAAAATGATTTCCGCTCGATATTTTTTCTCGGTATTTTTCATCGACAAAAAACCGAAATATTAAAAATCACGACTTACCATCAATTGTTCGGCTAAACAAAGCTAAACTTACCAAAGTCGATAACCAAGTAAGGATTTCCTACAGAAATAATTTGCCACTCTCGTTTAGCAGTGTAGTGGTCGAACTTGACGTAGGTTAAAACGAATTCGTTTTGCCGGCATCTTCCCGTTAAATTAAAGTAGATTTAACTCTTGCCAGAAGTAATTAGAAATCTACCCATTTTGCTCATAGCTTCGCAAATGCAACCAGCGTTATACAGTAAAGCGACAGAAACTTTAGCGAAATATTCACACGCGACAGTCGCGACAACCTCAGTAAATCTAACAAATGAAACAAGATACTGAGAGAAAAAAAGGGCTTTATTGATTGTTTCCGGCAGGCGGTGACAAGTAATGTACGAGATTAGAAAACCTCCTGGTCAGAATTTTTTTTGTAGCCTAAGCCCGTCATGAAAAATTACGTTTTATTTTTATCAAGCGGCTGAGACTTTGATGGTAGGTTCTGTTGAAGAACTTATTGGAAAAGTTCGTTTTACTCACTTTGTCATCTCTGTCTACAACTTCCACGTTCAATCCATCAATCAAGGACTTGGCTGTCCATTTGCAGGACTCACTGCTGTAACAAAAGAGCTCTTTCTTTCTGGTACAGTGTTTTTAACAATGGCTAACCTTGTTCTCATCTATGTTGTTCATCATGTCGTCAATATATCTATGGGAAAAGGAAAGCCGTCCCTTATCCACTATATGGCCGTTGTCATGGAAGTGTTGCTGCTTGGATACGAAAGGCTTGCAGAAACAGCCCTTAAGCTAACGCACTGTGTCCCCATCGGATCTGGAAAGTGGTTATTCATCGATGCTAATGTTCCATGCATGCAATGGTGGCAATATCTTCTTCTTGCGTATATTGTCATCTTCCTTGTTCCTTTCATCGTCGTTCTTGATTAGGGATCTTTCAAGCTGTACAGATCTTCCATTACAGCAGGAGAGTTTGTTGCCGCTAGCATGATTCCACTACCATTTCTTATATACTGGATTGTCAAGAGGAAGCTGAAAAGGGGAGAGCAAGAGTCTTCTGACCGGTAGATCATCAACGCAGATGTTTCGCTCATACTGCATGGTCCTTTTCGTCCGCCAACCGATATTGAAAACGGAACCCTTTACTGGGAGAGCGTTTTGATTGGTCGAAGATTAGTTCTCCTCGCTTGTGGGGCGTTCGTCACAGATGTCATGATACGCATGATCTTCCTTTCTGCTGCATGCTTACTGATAACCCTCCATCATGTTATGAAGAATCCTTATCGACATCCCATGGCGAATAATGCTGAAACATTATCTCTTGTAACTTTATCTCTCATTGCTATCATTAACCTGGCCAAAGCAACTACATTATCATTTGGTATCACGACTGACGGACCGAGCGGGGCTTATCTGAAAGGTCTGGAGTGGTTTGAGGTGTCCGCCTTGACATTTCTCCCAGTGTTAATGTCCATTTTAATCATATTCGCCATTTTTTCTCAGCTTGTGAGGTTTGCTTCTCTTCTGATTAAGAAATGTTTGAAGTGTTGCAGGAAGATATCTTTCTATCCACGGTACGAGGACCAAGAGCAAAGATCTCTCTTGGCTACTGCGGAACAGAACTTTGATTAAACTTAAAATGCTAATATACCGTTCCTTGATCGCAAATTATTCTCCTAAAATCTCAACGTAATATGAATTTAGTAGAATTGCTTCAGTGATATTAGAGATTTGCGCGCTCTCATTGATCGAAGATTGTGTCATACCCCTTAATTATCTCTCTCGAGGTGATTATAGCGGGGGCGCTAAATTTCAAAATGGCTCCTTTGCATTTTGTCTATTTTACGCAGGAATTGATAAACGCAATGGAAAAAAAATACAGTTTGAAAGAGCACAAAATATGCTATTACGTTTTACGTCACACTTTTCAAAGAAAGATGTGAAGGTTTTCTTGGCTGAATTAGTGAACCTGTTAATTTCTGGCGGAAGTCTACGGCTTATGTTGCTGCCATTAATTCCAAAAATTACAATGGAGTCAGTTTCAAGAATAAAGCGAATTGATTACAGAATTCAAGAGCGCCTTAACAATTAAACTAAAACAAGTATTTGTTTCAGGCTCAGTGAATATTGTTGAATAATCTCCTGAGGGATTATTCAACGACATTTACTCTGCCTGAGGCGTAGAACTGTAAAGTGTTTCATATGTCTTACATCGAAGCGCTAAATTAAGCTTCATATATGTACATGTCACTAGAATCTTGTCTAAGAATCTCAAATACTACTTTGTTTTTACCTTAATTTCTTTCGGTTGATTTTGTTATCACTGTAGCTTCCCAACTCATTTGGGGCAAAAATTAACTAGTCAATCAATTGGTCTAAACGGCACTAGTTTTTTTTTTTTTTTTTTTTTTTTTTTCATCCGCGAGAAAAAAACAATTATTCGGACCCTTAATTAGCTTCTTGTGAGATCTCCATCAGATTTTGGGATATCAGTATGTGTTACACATTAATCTTACAGTAATTTTCATTGATCTTGAAGTTCAGCTTCTTCTTCCCTCCAATGACACACAAAATGAGGTTGAATCAAAGTTGAAAGAGACTTATGATAGGGGTAAAACCTGATTTTGCACGGTAACACATGGTTGTGCGTCTGAATCACTTGGCGTTTACGACAGGATTACGTTGAAAAGGCTTAACTAGCATTTGAAAAAAAAAATGCTCTTTTTTTAGACTGACTCGACCGGTTGGGAATGAATAAGGAAGAAAAGCTGTTAATACGATGTGTATAAGCGTATAAAACAACAAGTTTTGAATAATATTACATTCATTAATAAAGCATTTAACGGACTTCTTTGTCTTTCGATTGGTAAAAGATGGGATGTTACTAAGATGTGGAATGGGAAATGGAAAAAATAAAATTGGATATTTTCTATTTTCCATATACCATTCCCCCTTCACCATTTCGCATTCCACCATTTATTAACATCCGTAAAAGATCAGTCACAGGTAATTTCGAATTGTCGGTTACAATGCATTCATTTCGTGTTTTTGTGATCGACACGGTTTGAGCATATCCTTTCATGTGGACCAACCTAAATCTTAGATTGAAAATGGCGAAATTCTTAAGCCAATAATTCACATTTTTTAAAAACTTAGGAAAAAGGCCCTAAAGATAGGTTTGCCTCTTGAATATTTTTGCGGGGCCATATTCGTATTTGCTGACCTCGACGAGCTCATGTCGATGAATCTTTTAATTCAGTCCTATGCTGGAAAATTTTCTTTTGGTCGTGCAAAGAGCTCTAGAGTGAAACATTACTGGGAGGCGGATGATTGAATTAACTGGGAGTTTTTCCCTGTTATATTTTCTCTGATTGCTTGAGATAACGATTTGCCACGTTCCACGGAGGAGCACGTACTCAACAAAACATAAACAAAATCGGCACTAAAACACGGTTAGAGGCATTATGCATATGGAGATCATAAGTTTAACACAGGTCACGTGGCGAGTGTCGGCCAATGAAAAATGATAAAATGCGTTGAGAGGCAAAGTGTAGATTGGGCATTACGAAATTACAAAATTCACTTCGTACGCGCCACACTGTCTGTGATCAATCACAGCTTGAAAGTGGGAATCAAACTATTGCCAATTGTTCTCTTCCTAAACTTTTGCAGGGAAAATAATAGTTTTAAGAAAATTTAGATTCGTGTCACCGCTTTGTCTTCCTCCATGCTAGTCACTATTTTCCGCCACTGGGAACGAGACGTTTGGAGACCTGGGACGTAGTTACATTGTTGTGGTTGCCATTCTGTCGTCGCTATTCAAGAGTGACGGTACAAAATGGCGGACAGAGTATTTGAAAAACACATACAGTTTGAAGAAAATTTCCATTTCTGCTTTTTTCGGTCCAGGTAAATGTCTTGGTTAAATTCGCTCCGGGCACTAGTTAAGGAATTTAAAAATCATTTGGATAATGGTGATCCTTAGAAGTTGACGTCTAATGTGTAGGGATCAATCTAGTGAAGATATCTGTTGGCTGCAAAGCATTCACAAAATCAGAGTATCAGAGACATCCACCTTTTTCTCAATAAATATCTTCCTTGCTTTCTTTTCTTTCATCAATTAGTTTTTCCTAATTTTTGAAATTGTTCTGGCAAGAAATCTACCGTCTAAAGCGATTGTCGACGTGGACTCATTTTTTTTCTCAGTTTTCTCGGGAACCGAAATAATTTGGTTTTAGCAACAGAGTTGATGATGTAAATGGGCCACCAGTTTCGTTCAGACGAAGGGCTGAAGTTCGATACGTCAGCTCTGAATCTCTTTACGCTGGCCAGTTGCCATTATGAAGTCAGTTGATAAAACCAAATTATCTTGTTAAACTCCCCGCCGTCTCAGCGACACAGTTTCTCCAGAAACTTATCCCCTTTTTTTGGGAAGAAATTCAGTTCTTGTGGAAAGTAAGCTTCTGCTGCGAATAACTATGAAGTTGGTAAAATGAGTGGCGCGACAGAGGCGCCCTTCACTAAAAATATAAAAGTTTTGAGTCTGAATACTTAGACGTGAGAATTGTTTTGACTCTTTTCCTTAATGCACCGAAATGCACTGAAATGCGCCAATAAACTTTTCTCCTAAATCAAAATTGTAGATTGTTTTTGTCGCTTTCAATGTTTTTGCCACCCGCGAGACGGTGTGACCCACTTGTCTGTAGAAGATCGAGTCTGCGAACTACAGATCTTCGAAAATTTCATCAAATTACGAGATAACGGAAAGTTGTGACGAAACCGGAAATTGCGAATTAGCCTTTCGCTTTCTAAAAAACGTTAGTTCCTAGGGTTTTCTTGGTTCGAAACGGTGTGGATTTACGTGAGGAGGAAATCAGAATTATTCGTGAGGGCTAAGTGCTTAAAAGTCTCATGACTTATGTAAACGGTTTGTTACTGGCTCTCTTGATTTTGGCATTGTCAAGCAGAAGCTCAGGTAATTTAATTAGTGATGACCCGATTAATTTCGTACCTGATGGTCATTATGTGATTGCTAAAATCGTTTTCTTGTCATATCATTGCTTCAAATGGATGCTTCTTTTGGAACATAGTTTTCCGCTTAAACTATTCTTGGACAAATATTCCAGCAGTCAGTCGTTATTTGAACTTTACAAATGCTAAAGGAAGCTTTACGTCGTCAAAAATGTTTGTAGCTCGATATATGCTTTCTTTTAGCTTGTCCAATTAGAAACCAAAATTATTTTGGTCAATTTTAAACCTTGATTGGAACTCTCACCGTTGCTAATCGGGTGAAAATATTACTTCATAAATTTCCACTTTAAGAGCGAACAATCATTGCTTAATCGTTCCCCAGAAAGCCAGAAATAATTTGTGCCAGCTTTTTTAACTTTTAAAGCGCGCACGAGTTGGTTTCAGCTGAATGCGGAGACCGGAAGCAAACTAAAACATTTAATCAGTCCTAGCCTGCAGAGCAGGCGTAATTTTGGCGAGCGAGTGCTCAGTATTTTCCTAACAAAAATTATGGCCGCCACGTTTGATTTTCATGGCAACGAGAGGCTGTGGAGAGAAAGAAATTTGTACCAAGGGAGTGGTTGTCGGTCAAAAATAAGGAGAGAGGTGGCGGTGGGGAAGTAAAGATTATCGCCCTTTCCCCGCCCCCTACCCCCACCGTCCACTCTAACGCCAACCAAACAAGGGCGGTCGGATTAACGATCGCGAGATTTTAAAGTTAGCTCGCACTAATAAGACGCCTGCACTGCAGGTTAAATCAGTCCCACATATTATCTCGAGTACAAGTTGTTCAAACCCTGAAAATCAAAGATACAGTGTTTGAAAAAAATGGTCTTTACTGGTACGGTACTGGAAAAGACGTCATAAAGGTCAGCTCCGTCGCAAAAAAACTTCCTTCTCCAGATTAAATTCACATATTTTGTTGTAGAGTTAAAATTTCTTACAATGAAGGCCCCTTCCAAGATCTTAACGTTTCAAATGCGATTACAAACGAAACATTCGTAGATGTCGACTTGCTTCACAATGAGAAAGGTCGCAGAAAACGAGATCGACTTTTCTATTTCTCACATGCCAGAGAAACAAAAGCAAAGTTCATCTCCTTGACATGGCATAACAACACAAAAAAAAACAATGCATTGTAGTTCAGTCAGACTGGGCAAATATAGTTATTCAAGACTCGACTTTTTTACAATCAATCCGTCGATTCCAAAACGTCAGGTTTTTGCTTGTCTCTAGCGGCTAGTATTAATGCATCTTTAAGAATCGTGAACTCTAACTTCCATAACAATGAAGCTGGCGCCGGCGGATCGGCACTAGTAGATAAGCATTGAGTCTTGGTCTAGACAACAAAACAACTTTCGAGAGTTTTGTGATGCATCCGGCCGTTCTTATTTAACTTGCAACTCACAAGTTAGTTTTTTGATCAAAAAACCTTTCAAGTTTGATTGCTGCCTCCTCATCACTGTCACCAACCGAAGAAGAGTTTTTGTTATTTCAGAAGTTTGTTGGGACGTTTTGGGAAAGTCGGATATAATTTGTGCAAGCTTTTTCGCTTTTAAAGCGCGCACGAGTTGCTTTCAGCTGAATGCGGCAGGGGCACCCAACGAGGATATAGTTCCAAACCACTTAATATAGCATTGTTGAACGTATTTTAGTATTTAAACGGTAGATATAGGCATATTTTTATCCCCTAAAAACTGTTCATCTGTTCGGATTTCCTAGCTGAAAGTCTAGTGATCCGAAAATTATGGGGATCAAAACTTACCTTTTCGAAAATTTTAGCCAGGAAAAGGCTCCCGAAAATTCTAGCTGGCCTTTTTTAAGGTAAATATATGTTTAAAATGGGTAATTATACCATTTTGTAGATGTTCGAAAATCTTAGGAGAGGCAGGCAAGCAAGGAATTTTACAACAAATGTTCCGAAAATTCTAGTTCTCAAATCGTCTTCCGAACAGATATTTTCCCGAAAATTGCCGTTGGGTGCCCCTGATGCGGAGACCGAAAGCAAAACTGAGACAACAAATCAGTCTCAAATATCATCTCAAGGGGAAGTTGTTCGATGACCTCTCGGTGATAGTAACGCAAAATCCAATCGATTTAATCATTTGGATAGTCTCCGCGGCATGCTATAACATTGTTAATAAAATTTTACATGCTATCGGATTGTAACAGTACGATTTGGCAACCAGGACTGTGATCCATGTGCTTGTTTACAGGACTTTGCTTTACTTTTAATAATGCACTTATTACAGTAAGTATCCTTATCTCCGGTAGACGTGAACTTACTGATTTCATATGCTAATACGAAGCTCCATGCAGTGCCCAAAGCGCTCAAATGAAGCTTTCACATTTAAGGAAAGGTGAAAATGGCTGCCCCAGAACGTGGGTACCTCGCATTTGGTCAGTTCGTCCGTCCATCCATCCAATATACTGTAAACTAAACTTTGTTTATCTTATTTATATTATTCATCATTTAGTCCTGCAGAAGAGTACTTTTAATTTATTACTTTAAGAAAAATATTAAAAACAACAACAACAACAAGAAAAACTATAACAGATCGTTTATGGGCAGAAGACCGGGAGAGTTTGGCATGCACCAATTAAATGACGGCACAGGTTAAATAAAAAGGCATTCATTAATCATTATATTCTGGAATTTCTCATGCCGTTTTACTAGTAATACTTTGTAAAGCTCTGATTTTTAAAAATTTCAGGTTCAAACATTGTGAATGTGTATGTTTCTCTTCATGGAAAAGACGCTAAAACTTGTGGCACCACAAGTCTCCCTTGTCGGTCCATTGCTCAAGCGGTTTATCGCGTGGCCCATGGCGGGAACATCTATCTGGACGGACGTGGGACCAAGAAACGCCCCTATGGCTGCAGAAACGGTCGCAATATTTTGATAGATCGCCCAGGTGTTTACGTGAACAAGACCTTGACTCTGAGGGGACTCTACTCCACCCCACACGTTTTATGTACTGATGGATTTTATTTTCAGAAGACAAATGGCGAACAGCTGACATTTGCTTTGGTGTTGTCAGGAATCGATTTTCAACAAACTCCGCTAAAGTGTAATGACTGCCAGCGCATCACAATCCACAACTGTTCGTTTCATAATTCTTCAAGAGCCTTGGCCATCAAAATACAGAACGTTACATCTTTTCAGCTTGACTTAAAAGGCAATTCAAGGTTCCGAAATAATTCACAATGCATCAACGTCCTTTTACTCAATAATACTAAAGGAAAAAGTCAAGACGTTACACTTAATATAAAAGATGCAATGTTTGAAAGAAATGGTCTATACTGGCACGGTACTAGCAGAGAGGTCATAATGATCAGATCCGTCGCAAAAAATGGTTCTTCTCCAGTATATATTCACATATTTTTCTGCAGAGTTAAAAGTTCTTACAATGAAGGCCCATTCCTACATCTTGACGTTTCAAATGCGATTACAAACGAAACCTTCGTAGATGTAGACCTACATCACCATGGAAAACGTCGCGGAAAACGAAATCGAAGTTTATATTTCTCACATGCCAGAGAAACAAAAGCAAAGTTCATCTCCTTGACATGCCATAACAACCCAAATAAGCAATGCTTAGTAGTTCAGTCAGACTGGGCAAGTATAGTTATTCAAGGCTCGACTTTTTACAACCAATCTGTCGATTCCAAAAAGTCAGGTTCTTGCTTGTCTCTAGCGGCTAATATTAATGCATCTTTAAGAATCGTGAACTCTAACTTCCATAACAATGAAGCTGGCGCCGGCGGATCGATTTTTGCCAATAGCAGACATGGAGTTCTAAAAGTCTTTCTTATCAATGTAACATTCAGTAAATGCAAAGCTGCCAGTTATGGATGCGTGATATCCATTGGAAGAACCGCTCAAGACCCGCCAGAAAGACATTGGGGTCCCCACCGGTTATATTTTACTCTCAGGAATGTAACTGTTCAACAATGGGAGGGATATCATGGAAACAAAACACCAAGGTGTATGGCTGTAGACGTTCTGCTCAATGGCGGAATTGTGATATTCGAGGGATCCACGTTTACGAAGAAAATGTTATCAAGAGGCGATGGAGCTTTCAAGCTGGTTACCACTGTAGATGAGAGTAACATTACAATTTCAAACTGCATTTTCAAGGACACTTCTATGGACGCAACTAGAGGAACGATTGTCTACATAGCCTCCGGAAACGGAAACGCAGGGATGGTTACAATTTCGAACAGTTTCATGGAAAACAAAAACAACAGAAAAATAGCTTTGTCCATAAGTCCCAAATACCACATTAAACTATTCAACATGACATTCAAGTCTCTTAAATACGGATTACAAACAGTATCAGCTCCGCCAAAAAACGATTCTTTTCCAATAGATATTTTCATTGATAACTGCTCCTTTATCGACAATACACATGATGCCATGTTTACACTTCTTAGTCCAACATCAGTCCAACTAACCATTAAAAACACGCTATTTAGCACCAGAAACGAAATAGTAAAACGGGACCAAAATGAATACGGCTATGCTATCAGCCTCTTCATTCCACCACTTCGAAGTATTAACTCTTCAAAGGCAGTGATCCAACTTGACAATAACGAATTCTACCACAGATCGGCCAGCTTTTTTACTCTGTTATTCGAAGGCTTCAAAAACGTGACAGTTAAACACTCTTCCTTTCGTAATTGTCGTGCCAGTGCCTATAAACCCGAATGGGATCAAGGTGAAACTGGTTTAATTTACGAACCAACCGCCGGCGCAATCTCTATCCTATTCAATCCAGACAAACCGTTCAGTCTGGGATGTGTGAAATCCAAAAGCGCTAATGACACACACTCTTCATGGAACTATAGTAGCCATGTGCTCTTTGAAAATACAAAGTTTGAAGAGAACTTAGGAATTGAAGTTGGGGCTGTACATATCAGCAATGGCTTCACGAAATTCCGAAGATGTGTGTTTGTCAACAACTTTGGCATTCATAGAAGTGGACACGTTCATTCTGCATATGGAACTGGCCGCGTAAAATTCGAACATTGTTCTTTTTTGAAGACAATGAAAATTGCAACAATTTCAGACGGCTCACAATTTGATAAAGGTGTCTTCATTTACTCTGAAAGTGGAGGTCCCTTGATATTTAAAAACACATCAATGACCTCACTAAGATTTAACAGGAGCTCTTATCCGATTGTCGACATTTCTAGTGGGGGCTTTGTTCACATGGATGAAAAGTCCAGTATGAAATGTAATGAAGGAGAGGCTCTTATATTAGAAAATGGCACCCATTTCCAATACGCAGAGAAAAACAAGAGCATTTGTGTATTGAATGTTACCGTTCTGAAATATTCGTGCAAACCCTGCCATCCGGGCTACTACAGCCTTCAGAAGGGGGTCTCCAAAGGCTTATTGATAACCTCCAAGGCTGAGTGTCATCCATGCCCATTTGGAGCCACTTGCATTGAAAGTAACATTGATGCGAAACCCAACTTCTGGGGTTATGTAGCACCTGGCAATCCATCGATGCTGAAATTAATTGTTTGTCCTGAAAATTATTGTTCATTGACTTCGTCACTAGACTACAGCAGCTGCCAAGGAAACAGAAACGGCACGCTCTGTGGACGGTGTGCTGATGGGTTCAGTGAGACTCTTTTATCAACTAAATGCCGCAAGTCTACCGAATGCAACGACTATTCTGTGTGGTTTGTGAACATATTTCTAACAATCATTCTGGCTTTCTATCTTTTGACCAAGCCCCCGATCCTGCGCACCCTAGAAAAACAAATCCTATGGTTCAAGAAATCAGATGAAGATAATCCGGGAGATGGATCTGACTTCAATGGTGGTGGTGAACATTCCGAGAATGGCTTCTTAAAAATTACGTTTTATTTTTATCAAGCGGCTGAGACTTTGATGGTAGGTTCTGTTGAAGAACTTATTGGAAAAGTTCCTTTTATTCACTTTGTCATCTCTGTCTACAACTTCCATGTTCAATCCATCAATCAAGGACTTGGCTGTCCATTTGCAGGACTCACTGCTGTAACAAAAGAGCTCTTTCTTTCTGGTACAGTGTTTTTAACAATGGCTAACCTTGTTCTCATCTATGTTGTTCATCATGTCGTCAATATCTTTATGGGAAAAGGAAAGCCGTCCCTTATCCGCTATATGGCCGTTGTCATGGAAGTGTTGTTGCTTGGATACGAAAGGCTTGCAGAAACAGCCCTTAAGCTAACGCACTGTGTCCCCATCGGATCTGGAAAGTGGTTATTCATCGATGCTAATGTTCCATGCATGCAATGGTGGCAATATCTTCTTTTTGCGTATATTGTCATCTTCCTTGTTCCTTTCATCGTCGTTCTTTATTGGGGATCTTTCAAGCTGTACAGATCTTCCATTACAGCAGGAGAGTTTGTTGCCGCTAGCATGATTCCACTACCATTTCTTATATACTGGATTGTCAAGAGGAAGCTGAAAAGGAGAGAGCAAGAGTCTTCTGACCGGCAGATCATCAACACAGATGTTTCGCTCATACTGCATGGTCCTTTTCGTCCGCCAACCGATATTGAAAACGGAACCCTTTACTGGGAGAGCGTTTTGATTGGTCGAAGATTAGTTCTCCTCGCTTGTGGGGCGTTCGTCAAAGATGTCATGATGCGCATGATCTTCCTTTCTGCTGCATGCTTACTGATAACCCTCCATCATGTTATGAAGAATCCTTATCGACATCCCATGGCGAATAATGCTGAAACATTATCTCTTGTAACTTTATCTCTCATTGCTATCATTAACCTGGCCAAAGCAACTACATTATCATTTGGTATCACGACTGACGGACCGAGCGGGGCTTATCTGAAAGGTCTGGAGTGGTTTGAGGTGTCCGCCTTGACATTTCTCCCAGTGTTAATATCCATTTTAATCATATTCGCCATTTTTTCTCAGCTTGTGAGGTTTGCTTCTCTTCTGATTAAGAAATGTTTGAAGTGTTGCGGGAAGATATCTTTCTATCCACGGTACGAGGACCAAGAGCAAAGACCTCTCTTGGCTACTGCGGGACAGAACTTTGATTAAACTTAAAATGCTAATATACCGTTCCTTGATCGCAAATTATTCTCGTAAAATCTCAACGTAATATGGATTTAGTAGAATTGCTTCAGTGATATTAGAGATTTGCGCGCTCTCATTGATCGAAGATGGTGTCATATCCCTCAATCACCTCTCTCGAGGTGATTATAGCAGGGGCGCTAAATTTTAAAATGGCTCCTTTGCATTTTGTCTATTTTACGCAGGAATTGATAAACGCAATGGAAAAAAAATACAATTTGAAAGAGCACAAAATATGCTATTACGTTTTGCGTCACACTTTTCAAAGAAAGATGTGAAGGTTTTCTTGGCTGAATTAGTGAACCTGTTAATTTCTGGCGGAAGTCTACGGCTTACGTTGATGCCATTAATTCCAAAAATTACAATGGAGTGGTTTCAAGAATAAAACGAATTGACTACAGAATTCAAGAGCGCCTTAACAATTAAACTAAAACAAGTATTTGTTTCAGGCTCAGTGAATATTGTTGAATAATCTCCTGAGGGATTATTCAACAACATTTACTCTGCCTGAGGCGTAGAACTGTAAAGTGTTTCATATGTCTTACATCGAAGCGCTAAATTAAGCTTCATATATGTACATGTCACTAGAATCTTGTCTAGAATCTCAAATACTACTTTGTTTTTACCTTAATTTCTTTCGGTTGATTTTGTTATCACTGTAGCTTCCCAACTCATTTGGGGCAAAAATTAACTAGTCAATCAATTGGTCTAAACGGCACTAGTTTTTTTTTTTTCATCCGCGAGAAAAAAACAATTATTCGGACCCTTAATTAGCTTCTTGTGAGGTCTCCATCAGATTTTGGGATATCAGTATGTGTTACACATTAATCTTACAGTAATTTTCATTGATCTTGAAGTTCAGCTTCTTCTTCCCTCCAATGACACACAAAATGAGGTTGAATCAAAGTTGAAAGAGACTTATGATAGGGGTAAAACCTGATTTTGCACGGTAACACATGGTTGTGCGTCTGAATCACTTGGCGTTTACGACAGGATTACGTTGAAAAGGCTTAACTAGCATTTTAAAAAAAAACCGCTCTTTTTTTTTCTTTTTTTAGACTGACTCGACCGGTTGGGAATGAATAAGGAAGAAAAGCTGTTAATACAATGTGTATAAGCGTATAAAACAACAAGTTTTGAATAATATTACATTCATTAATAAAGCATTTAACGGACTTCTTTGTCTTTCGATTGGTAAAAGATGGGATGTTACTAAGATGTGGAATGGGAAACGGAAAAAATAAAATTGGATATTTTCTATTTTCCATATACCATTCCCCCTTCACCATTTCGCATTTCACCATTTATTAACATCCGTAAAAGATCAGTCACAGGTAATTTCGAATTGTCGGTTACAATGCATTCATTTCGTGTTTTTGTGATCGACACGGTTTGAGCATATCCTTTCATGTGGACCAACCTAAATCTTAGATTGAAAATGGCGAAATTCTTAAGCCAATAATTCACATTTTCTAAAAACTTAGGAAAAAGGCCCTAAAGATAGGTTTGCCTCTTGAATATTTTTGCGGGGCCATATTCGTATTTGCTGACCTCGACGAGCTCATGTCGATGAATCTTTTAATTCAGTCCTATGCTGGAAAATTTTCTTTTGGTCGTGCAAAGAGCTCTAGAGTGAAACATTACTGGGAGGCGGATGATTGAATTAACTGGGAGTTTTCCCTGTTATATTTTCTCTGATTGCTTGAGACAACGATTTGCCATGTTCCACGGAGGAGCACGTACTCAACAAAACATAAACAAAACCTGCACTAAAACACGGTTAGAGGCATTATGCATATGGAGATCATTAATTTAACACAGGTCACGTGGCGAGTGTCGGCCAATGAAAAAGGATAAAATGCGTTGAGAGGCAAAGTGTAGATTGGGCATTACGAAATTACAAAATTCACTTCGTACGCGCCACACTGTCTGTGATCAATCACAGCTTGAAAGTGGGAATCAAACTATTGCCAATTGTTCTCTTCCTAAACTTTTGCAGGGAAAATAATAGTTTTAAGAAAATTTAGATTCGTGTCACCGCTTTGTCTTCCTCCATGCTAGTCACTATTTTCCGCCACTGGGAACGAGACGTTTGGAGACCTGGGACGTAGTTACATTGTTGTGGTTGCCATTCTCTCATCGCTATTCAAGAGTTTACTCTGTATAAAAAAAATTGTTCTGTCGTTCAGGTTGGCTTTCTTTGTTATGAAAGTCCATGTGAACAATAGCTGCATTAGGAAAATTCACAAACAACGCAATATTAATTGTGAGAAATATGTTCGTTATTACTTTTAAAATCATTATCATTTCTTTGGTAAAAAAAGTCCTCGGCCAGCCAGGGGCGGTCAGTTGAGTCAAAACCATAAAGGAACCGCAGCAAAAAGTTGTCAAGGTCGGGCGAGAGAGCCCCTGGGATGCTACCCTTGACGAACCAGTGTTAGGTCTTATTCGAATGTAAGTAAATAAGAAACAACTTTATTTAATGACATGACAGTTAAAACTGATGAATAAGTAGCCCCCAGTGGTATTAAAATATTTAGAACTAATAGAATAAACACGACGAATTAAAATTTAAAAATACTGCAAGATAAAAAAAAGTGATATGTACATTAGAATAAAAAGATAAAAAACATTGTACATTACTATAGACAGATGTCAGTAAAACTGATGAACTAGTGGCCTTCAGTCTGTGATTTGGCACAAAAAATAATTTTGTGCCCAGCAAGAGACCAGTATTTATTGCGTTTCTTTCGCGATCTTCTTATACGAGGAAGTTTATTCGCAAACTCGACTGTTCGCGTGCATGTTTGGCTCTTACAGGAGAGATTTCTTCGGCGAAAATGGAGCCCAAAAAAACAAAGAAATTCTATAGTTTTCCGGTTCCAGAAAAAAACTAACCTGCTGATCGCCAGTTAGAAAAAAAACGGAAGTTGCGTGGAAGTGAGCCTTTTGCCCTTTGCGGGAAATTTAAAATAACTAACACGGCGGACGATCAAGTCGATCGTATTCCAGGCGACATTCCTGGTAATGGCTTGAGTGAAGAAGAGATAGAAAAGAGTTCAAATTTTCATTTAAAATGCCACCGTATAAATCAAAATGGTAATAAGAAGGGACTGTTAAAAAAGTTAGTATACATATGCTGTTCTCTCCTAAGTTATTTTCAACTAAAGTTTACATAGTGCATGGTTTAGACACCTGTTTTCATACAAAATTTGCTTTCTCAGGGTCAAGAACCTGGAAGCAGTGACAATCTAAAAATGTATGACCATGACCCAGAGAGGATCTTCACTAGATAAGGTAAAGTTAGCAAGACAGATTGAAGAACTGAGGGAAAATGGGGAAACCGCGAATGATTATTCAAATTATTCTAGAAAGAATTATTGTCCTTTAGAAAGAAATTGGTAGGTTTTTTTTTTGCGCCGTTTTGGTTTGAAAACGGTTATAGACTTTGCCCATTTTAGTCTGAAATCGGGTATAGTTTTCGAGCGAGATACACGGTGTTGTATGAACATATTTACCGATTGGTTCTGAATGAACAAGAAATGAAACCATAATATTATATGCGAATTGGAAATGAATTTTAAGAAATCTTTTTGTTGGCGTTCATACCATACTCTACTGCACCACCAAGAAAAATCCATGTCTTCAATAGTGAATATAATTCGTTTTCCCTTTCTTGCCCTGATTTTCCAGCTGCAGCTTTGGTTAGTTGAATAATGTCTGGGATAGAAAGGACTGGTGCATGATGACTCCTGAAATTTCATTCAAAGTCGTCACATTCGGACAGACTGTAAAAGAACATTACACATTTATTTTTTTCCAAGCTTGTGAGTGGGCGGAATCCTCCAAATCCTGCAATCTGGCTGGTTCCGAGAGCGGGCGGTATTTTACGATCTTGCCCGCTAACCCGGGCGGAATCGTTGGCAGCTTTATTGACAAGTTTGTTTGTTGTTTGTGAATGAGCAAAAACCGTCATTTTCACGATGACACTCGCGATACACTGTGCCCGCCCCCGGATGGAAGCAAATTGTCGCTGTGACGTAAGCTTTGAGCGACCGTTAGTTACGTCGCGTCCAAGAGCCTGGTCATACTTAGCCCGAGAAAGAAAACTCTGATGGAAAAAGTTTAAAATCAAGCGTTTCCCTAGCGGTTGTGATAAAATCTGAGACTCCAGAAGCATAGAGGGGAAAGACAGTTTAGCGACAGATCCTCAGACGGTATTTTGGCTAGTTGGGACCATTTTTATGGGATTTATGGAGCTTCGAGCTGGAACGGTCGGCTTCAGAGTCCCCAGCCTTCCCATTTTTCTTACTGTTAGTACAACTCAGAACTTTAAACGTCGATAAAACGGCTTCCAAATGGCTCTAGAGCTGAAGAGACAGTAAACAACAAACCACAAACACAATGTAAGTCGTTTTTGTTTCTATTTTTGTCAAAAATTGGAATTTAGGACGTATTTTGTTTATTTTCATACCTTCTCTTATAAATTCAAAGTCCAACGAACTCCCGCAGAGTTTGGGCTGCCTGTGCGTTTAATGGACAGTTTTCCTCTGTTTGAAGTTTTTTTTATTTCTCCATTTTTGTTGTAAGAATCTAGATTCTGCCGTTTTTCATTGAATTTTGCCACGCTAGTTTTCTACTTATCAGAAAAAGTTGTTTTCAATGATTGCATTTAGCCTTCAATCTTCAATAAACAACACGAATCATTTTTCCAGCAGTCGGTTATCGCCGTTTTCATTTCTTTATTTATAACTTGCATTGGGATATTGCATTTAATATCCACCTCCCCTCCCACCCCCCCCCCCCTCGTCCCCCACTCCTGCTCCCGGTTGAGGAACCATGGAATTCTCCAGGAGTAAGTTATACAAATTGAGGATTTATTTAGGGGTAGAGTAAAAAAAATATGGAATTCTTTGGGGTTGAAGCCTTCATTTTCACAAAATTCTTCAGAGGTAGACCCATATTCTTCAGGGATATACCCAATTCTTCAGAGGTAAACCCATATTTAATGGCAGTGTTCAGGGGTGAATGCAATTTTAGCCAATCTTCAGGGGTAAGTCCTCAATTGGGGTGGGGGGGGGGGGGGGGGTACGGATATTAAATGCGATAGCCCATTGTTACTCAGGTCGACCTCCCAGCCGGTGAATAACATATACTCTTTTGGAGTATTTTTGAAAAATATTCAAACATTTTTTTCTTTTTAACGCCTTAATATCTTGGTAAAGCAGATCTTTCCCTTCCCCTCTTAATATTTTCAAGAGCACTTCTTTACTGTCGTCTCAATATCCCAGAATCCATCTGAAAACGGCTTAGTTTATCAGCTTTAATGAAATACTAAGATATAGTCCGAGAGCATATGTTAAGATATCCGGTTCCGTGGGCGTTTCGTGAAGAAAGCAAGCAACTAGGCTAGTTGTGTTCCGGGGACCTTAAAGAACAAGAAAAATGACGTTGCCACTTTTGCAACCCCTACGGAGGCGTTTTACAGGATTTTTTTTTAAAAAACGAAACGACGTCAAACGCCCTGCGTGAAAACGAGGCTGAGGATTATCAGGATGTATTAATTATGCAATAGTGTACGACTAAATGTATCAATTTCTGGTCACGTGACCACTGGGACTTGAAAACGAGGCTTTGAGTAGTTGATTGAAAGTTGATAATGCCTGCAAAACCGAGATAATTTTTTTAAAAAATTACCTCGTTGGTTGCAGGGATTACGAAAACGAAAATATTTTCTTTAACAAGATGATTTAGGAATATCACAAATTTTTCCTGTTTGAGTAACAAAATTAGAGCTTTTAAAAAGTCACAGGAAGCTCATCCAGAACATTAGCACATTTTCAGTTCTTAAAAAATCTATTGTGTTTGTCCGTATCAAGCCTTCAGGAATGGTCATGAAAAATATGGCTAAAGAAGATTTTTGCCTTGTCAAGTTATTTCCCGTCATAAAATAGAAGATGAGTACCAGCCAGCCAAGAAGCTTCAGATGCCTCGGAACGACCTCAGTTTTATGATTCTTTGTCCTGGTGAGCTACACGTTGTCAGGTCACAACGTGGAACAATCGGTTCGTTCATTGAGAATAGTGGAATCGATCGTCTGAGCTGTATGGCCCCAAAACGGTGAAGCAAATCCTTGATGGAAATCACGCGAAGAGAGGAGAGGAAGCTCTTATGATCACCTTGCAGGTCCTATTTACCCAGTATACCAGAGAGCTTTTTAACTTAACAAGATCCACAGAAGGTGGAGCAACTCGAGAAATGCGTAACGCAGCTGGGAAGCGCTTGTGATGCGGGCCCCAAGGAAGAGGTCCAATTAGCTAGTGCAAGAATGGAAGGGGCCATAAAGTCCCTAGATGTGATCGGTAAAATGAAGACCTTTGAGGAACAAAATAGCCAGATTCCAGAATTCCAGGTGTTCGGATATTAAATGAGAATGATAATGGAGATAATCCAGTTCATTAGAGCGGTCCGAACAGGGCACTAGCAGCTGCATCTTACATCGCCGCAGTCGTTCACAAAGACCGTTTTTTACTCATGACCGTCTTATATAACAACGCCAGAGTGATTCCACTGTACCCTGCTGAAATACAGATGCTACAAGAAACAGACCCAGAGAAATATGAAGAATTCCTCGAAGGTAATTGGGTCGTTAACAAGAATCTGCGTGTGCCATTTTGTGCTTTGGGTGCGGACCATGCTTTAGAGGAAATAAATTGCTAAATGAAAGTCTCAGGGGGCTAGTTGGTGTCACCCTGAATCCAAACGCCGGTACTAATTTTTTTCTCATCGCTCCTGAGCTTGCTTGATTAGCCCAGATGCGAAAAAAGTGGCGGAGACCACTCTGGCAAAAGAAGGTACTCATCATCACACCTTGTCAACTCCTGTGATTTCTCGCGAAGAGAAAAACATAGAACAAGTAATAAACACAATTAAGAATTTCACGAATCCCTTCGTAGTGCAGAGCAACGGTCTTCTCCATGTCGTGACAAAGGTTGTAATGCCAAGCAAGGTCAAGAAGGATCTTTTGGAACAAAGTGAGATTGGCCAGAAACTGTTTTAGACCTTTGAGAAAGATCGCATCAAGTCAGGAAACATCAATCTTTAGTCTCCGATGAAGAAAAGAAAGCTCCAGACATGGAAAACCATGAGGAAGAAGATAAAGGTTTCTAGTGCCGGTCTAGTCTGCGTAGCTGGCGGGATTAGCGTGTGGAAGTGCTGTATTGTTTTGGTGGCAGAGCCGCGAGAAGAGTGGGTATTCATGTCAATTTCGGGATTTCCCCTCGCGGCTTCCTCGCCTCGCGTGGCGGCTCCGCCACCAAAAAAGTACCCAGGGCAAAAAAATCCTGCCAGCTACGCGGGCTAGTGCCGGTCAAATAGTGGAGTTACATTAAGACTGAAACTTGTTTGCGCACATGATGGTGATATGTAAAAGCCGACCTGAGATCGACATCCAAGAAGCTGTTGGAACGAACAAATTAACAGTGGTACCGATATCTATGTTCGCTCCAGACGGAGAAGTGCTACAATACCCGGTCAAAAGTGCACTTTTGTCCATTCTAGGGAAGCTTCCGGCCAATACAGAGTGAAGCTGCTATTCAAGATCATGCAAGTCAGGCAGAAAGAATAAGAGTCTCTATCATCGATGCAATGGCTACGGTATAACTCCTAGATAAGCCAACGTCCTTAAGAGGCTGCTTTGACGTCCCAGACCACTTTGCATACCGAATTTTTAAAGAGTATGACGACAGTGATGAGGTCCGCCTTATATTTGATAGATACGATCTGCCGACTATCAATAACTAGTATGGAACAGTAACACGAACCCCAATCCAGCTCTATCCTCAACAAAGGACTGCGGCTGGGAATGGAAAGACGACGACAATGCGTGGATTCCCGTCATGACAACAATACTCACTGCTCCTGAGGCCATAATTCATCTCGTGAAGTGCAAATGTGTAAAGGAAAGGTGTACCACCAAGCGCTGCCAGTGCAGTAAGGCTAACATGAATTGCATGGATCTCTGTGGCTTTTCGGACATGGGCGAACGTTGCGGGAAAATTCCCAAAGATGACAACTAGGAAGAAGATGACAGTGATGACTATGACAAAAATGCTGATGAAGCTGAGTATGAATACGTAACCGATTCTGATGGTGATGATTTCAATTTAAGCCAATTGCAAAATTAGATACATCTTCCATTAACAGATAACAATAACATATCCAGTTCTAGCTGTAGCTTAAAATTTGCTGCCAATGTGCAGTTTCTAAGCAAGATTGTTTATTATACCTCGTATCAAGTGTAAGAAATTATGTCAGGTAAAAATATAAACGACAACCGGTAGAAATAATCACAGGAGGTTCTGGAATTATTTGTATTAATGTCAGTCAGCGTACTTCCCTAAAATGGGTTTCCTGTGTTTTTTAAAATCTCTTAGGCGAAAAATTGGTTAAAAACGAGAAAATGCGTGATGGGAGTTTTTCGATTTCAGTGCTATTGATGTAGTGTACGCATGGCGACATGGAATATTGAGTCACCACACTGTGTCACCAAAATGTAATTGGTGTAAATGCTAAAATCATACGTCGTTACGAGATAAAAAACATTGTTAATCGGCTTTCTCTGGGGCTGGGTACCTGATTTCAGGTCTTTTTTAAGCGTTTGTACATGGTGATGTTGACGTTTGCTCATAAAATTCCTCACAGATAATTTAATTAAGAACTAGCGGTGACTCGTGCACACTTTCAAAATTAAACATAAATCATACCTTACAGAACAAGAAATGTGAAAAGTAACGATACAGTGTACATTTTAAGACTTTTCTATGCCTTTAGTGATAAATCGTTCTTTAATAGTTTAGTCAGAGGCTATATTTTCTGGACATTTACGATGTGCTGCTAACTTATAACGAAATGTAAACATCATGTTTTCGAATTCCGGTTTTATGCTTGAAACCTTCGCAGAAAAGTTAAGTTGTCCAAAACAATTTACTCTTACAGGTCTAATAGAAATGACAATCGTGCTATAAAATCAGTGGCGCATAATAACACCTCCTTGTTAAAATGTTTAGTACCCCAAGTTCGTAGTTCATACCAAAATGTGATGTATACCACTTTCGGAAATAACATCTCCACCCCCTAATTTCATTAAATAGCACTGAATCGTTTTTCTTAAGCTCTAGTGTGTAGATCATTAGCACGGAAATTGAAATGTTTTCGTACCCTTTTTTCACAATTTCCTTGTGAAATGTGGAATCCTGGGATTTGGAATATGTGATTCTACTCAAGGAATCCGATATCCTACTTATGATTAGAATCCAGAATCTAAGTGTCAGTGACATCCAGAATCCAGTACTTGGAACCCAGAATCCAAAGCGTGGAATACAGAATCCAAGACTTTCTTGGATTACTTTTTATAGGGCAAGTTGTTGGTGGTCATTTTTTTTTTTTAATCTTAACTCAATAATCGATGTTTTAAAAAATAATGTATACCACGTACCTGAACTATAAGTGATAGCCGTGTAAGTTGCATTAAACCCTGGGTATTGACTGCTCAGAGACGTGAATATAACTTGTATTGAATTCCCCACTGAGTACACTGGATATGGAAGTTGCTGACCGCACAGCATGAGCGGTTGATAACCATCATCTGAAGCAACATTTGTGACTGTAACACGGGCTTCTGGATCATACAAGAAATAACATTGACTGTACCGAGTTAGTCCCAGTCGAAAGCTGAGGACGTTGAGTTTAATGATGTATCCGCTGGGAACTGTGATATTCCAGACACATCTGCTTTACAGTGGAAAGCTATTTGGAAAATTTGGACTTGAAAAGAATCCACTGAGACCATGAAGATTTTCGCCAGTGATACAAGCTGCGAACAGAAAACTTACTATCAACTAAGTAACTTTTAAACGCATATACTTAAAAAAGGCGTCCTACATCTGATCAGAAGCAATGACGTAGTTTACGTTATTTGGTGAGCCTATTTGAGGTGATAGCCAATTTGACCGGACACTTTGTTCAAACCGAACCGTTCAGTATTTCTGCTTTTGGCACATGGAACCGACGAAGCAGATTGAATCTTTTAACCACGCGCTTGCCTAAAAAACATTTAGACGCGTATGGTGTTGACACAGGAATGGTCAATTTCGTCTGTATAAAAATTTAGACGGCCTTATCTCGGTTTTGGCGTTCAAATTTTTGAACGGTTCTGTTAACGGATCTCCTAAACGCACGATGATGATATTCAACCGGTCGGAAATTCGTCCGGTGCCGTGAGCAATTCATATGTTCACATCGAGACCTCGTCCCCAGAAATTTTATCCTTCAAAAGTTTACTAGACTACGAGTAATCGCCATTTTTCCTCAGGAACAGTAAAGCGAGCGAAACGCGAGCGCGCGTGTGTTGAAATGGGGACTTCTTGTTGTCTAAAAGTTTACAATTCTCTCAATTTTTCGACAAAATGCATTGAGAACCCTCCTTGCGTTGTCTTCTTTCGGAGTCAGATGACACAAAATCTGGCTCGGCTGCCTGAAGAAACAACACCAGAACAAATCAGCCAAATCAGTTCAACGAGAATTAGCTTTATTTGTTGTAATACTGAGCCAAATTATTCTAGATACAGATTATCTTCTTTTTGAAAGAAATTGGGCACGGATTATTACTCCGCCTGGTAAAGATACTGTTAAACTTCTTGACCTCCAGTAAACGAGCAATAAATCACTGGGGGCATCTTTTTACATCTTTTTTTTGGCAGAGCAGAGAGTTACCGGTAACTGCATGCAACTTTCAAGTTACGTGTACGTGTTGTTCCATTGTTAAACTACTCTAAGTAGCGTGTTATGTATAACGAACATTGAGTGGTCGGGCGTCAAGTGGTCGCTTACAAGGGGTTCAAAACAACGAAAAAGTATTAAACCATGAAGCCAAAAGGTGGTCGCGGTCGCTCATAAGAGGTGTTCGTTTTCGAGAGAATCCAAGAACGGGGCTCTGACTGAGAAAATTTTGGTAGTTTGGATACACGGTCGCTTAGACGAAGATGTCGCTTACAAGAGATAGACGCACGTGGAAGTTCGACTGTAATGTTCGTTGTATCTCGATGAGATCATCTGAAAATAACGTACCTGATTGTTGCGACACCACTGTTAAAGGTATAAGCATCAAAACCAAGGTACATGTAACTGTTAATTTACACCTGGTTTTGGTCAATACATCTGACTGGTCTGAGATTTCCCTGTAATGACCTCACACTCGGTTAATAAGTAGTATTTATTGTACCCCTCAGCCTTGGAACTAATTATCAATTTTAGTAATTCGGAACTGGCCTATAAGAAGTGTCAACAAACCCGCGTATAAGGATCTAGTGATTTAAGAACGTAGAGGCTGAAATTTGGCATTTAAATACCCAAAAATATAAGAATTGAACCTGTGAAGCCCGTTAAAGAAAAATAGGTTCTTATACAAAACAATCTCTCCAATTTTGATGGTCAAAATTGTCGATTTTAATCGTGTGAGAAACTTTTGAAAAAAGGTTATTGTGTATATGTTTTCTTTGATTTAAATTTGCTTGGATTTTCACTAGAAGTATGTTTTCCATAAAGCTACCATGCAATATAGACGATTTAAAATCTTAACATCTCATTTAAAAAATATAGAAATGTATTGATATTCTTCTTGGACCTTGAATGTTTGCCATTATGTATTAGTAGTACAATATTTCTGCCAATGGTTACACTATGACAACCTCTGAAAAATAAGAACCTTTTAAGAAAGGTATACCTTTTCTCGGGCTTCAGGTATAGGAACTGGTTGGGGTTTCATTGGTTGTGAAGTATATGAAAGGGAGGGAAATAAGACATTTCTATCTGTGAAAGGACCAAAAAGGGCTCACGAACCCATTTTATGGATGTGAAATTAAGGGACGAGAAAACTTCCTGGTTTGTATAGGTAATAGCATGATTTGTAGTGATATTTGGCATAAATACCACGAGTAATACTTCGAGATTGTTATACGTAATTTCACGAACCGTTAGGCGAGTGAAATTTGAGACAACTTTGAAATATCACGAGTGGTATTTATGCCAAATATCACGTACAAATCATGCTATTATTTGTTTATATTACTACCCGCAAAAGGTTTGTAATTTTCACATGTAGGTATTTCAAATTAAGCTGAAATACCACTGCTCTAAGCCAATCAAATTGCAGGAATTTCCCATGTAGTAGTATAAAGTGATTTATTTATATTAAAAAGACGGTGAATTTACAGCAGTTAAAAGGGAAGCAGTGTTTTAAACTAGTTATGTGAAAGGGGCACCATTTGTCAGTAGAAGGTAGACAGAATGGGTACATTTTCTGTCAAAAAATAATGGTTAGTTTATAAAAAGGCTAAGTGGTTGGACCTCGTAGCGGAACTTCCCCGTATGGCATTTCCTTGAGTACCCCCTTCCCCCCCCCCCCCCCCCCGGGGCTACTCCAATGCGAACAATACCTGGTTGGAGTTCTCGCGCAGCAATTTACTACGCATGTTCATAACGTCAAGGAAGAAATAATATGTGCGAAATAAGTATGCGCCACATAAATGTCACCATGATTACATACTACCACGCATTCGTCGGAGGTCTTCAAGCGTTATTTTGTAAATAGATGCCTTTTTAACTTTATTTAGTTTAATGCTTGAAAGAAAACATGTGTTTTTTTATTGCATGGTAAACGTGCACGTGTGCATGCGATTGTTTGCTAAGATCTTCAAGAATGTCCGCTCGGCCTAACAAGTGCGAACTCATTCCAAGGACCCAGATTTTGAATACGTTTTTCATACATATTTTGAATGATAAAGTGACTGTTTGCACTCACTGAAACACCAAGAAACTAATAAATTCGATCATGGTGTGCCCAACTGTTCGCCATTTAAATTTATGACATAAACTCAATATAGGACCTTCGCAGTGCTATAGTTGGAAGTCTTGGAACTAGTGTTGTTTACCGTATGTTCATCGTATCAAGCTAAATCATTCTATTACCAATTAGTAAGCAACTGCAGCCCTAAAAGTTTAAAAGATTTTAAACTATTTC